TCATCAAGGCAAGAGGCATTGTGATCAAGCTGAGTAGCATAAAGAGTTTATAGCAACGTAATTGTTACAACAAGACAAGAAGTGATTGTGTCCACATTTATATATACAAGCTCATTCAGGAGGTAGAAAATTAAAATGTCTAAATAAGGAGTCAAATTGTTGATGAATTTGCTGTAGCTCATATAGGATTTGATGTTATCGATGTTCAAGCCGATCTTGTCTTTGTTCAAATCAATCCATCCGAATCCCTGTCTTCGATAGATGATACAGGAGCTTGCTTATATGGATGTGTTTCCTTAAAGGGACCAGTCGGAGAAGATTGAGTACCCCAGTACCCCTAAAGATTGGTATTTTCGGTTCTGGTTCAAGTTGAGGGGGATCGATTCTTCTAAGCATTCTAACCCACATACCATTTCTAAACAAACATCTCATTCGGTGAAGTAGATTTTTATTTATTATGCTAAACCTATCTACTTTTATTGTCTCTTCGTTGGGTGGTATTGGAATATCGTAGGCATTAAGTATTCTAGTGATTATACCACCATATGGAAGCATAATGTCTTTCTTAGATATTTCAATCATATTTTGCTAGATAAGGTAACCAAAATAGATGTTATGTCCTTTCATGATCCAGTATATGGTTCGTAGTTCCATTTGACTCACTTCATCATGATGATATTGTTTAGGGAGAATGATATTAGTTAGGATATAATGAAGTACTTTAGTGTTTAGTGGTAACAGATGTTCACAGCTTTTAGGAATTACCACTAAATTAGGATTACCGAAAATTGTTCTTAAGGCTTCGACGTATGTTGTTCCAACTATTTCATCATCCCACAATCCTCTAAAATAATAACCTCTATCTTTTACGGGAATGCCTATCATATCGCAAATGAATCTATCCGTAATGGAAATGAGTTATCCTAAGAGATAGGTAGACACTCTTTCTTCTTCATCTACATGTAAATTGTTATAAAACAACCTAACAAGTCTTGGGTAGATGGGCTCACTAATTTGTAGGATTGGGAGTAGATCTAAATTTGCAAACTATTGAATTATCTCTAAATTACTTAGTTCATTTAGATCAACATACTTTCTCTTATGGACATTTCTAAACTCTATGAAAGCAAATTTTTTGGGCATGAAATTTTGAATCGAAAAGGGTGGGATCAAAGTCTTTTTCTAATCTCCTCTTCCCTTTGTCCCTAGAGGATCTTCTAGAACCCATAACTACTACTATTTAAGAAGATAGTAATGAGCAAGAGTAACTGACACAAAACAAAAATCAAAAGCCTCTTAGAGAATACCTTAGGTGAGATCTTCAAGAGGATGAGAGATTCTTGATCTTGCTCGAAATGGGCAGCTTTTGGGCAGCGAAAGGGGAGGAATGGAGGTGGAGAAGAGTTAGAGCTACTAGGAGGAGAAGAGAGTGAGTTGGGGTCGATTCCACCGCCGACCCTAGCTCGGTTTAAAAGAGGGCAGACTTGTAGGCGGTGGCACCACTGGCTGGGCGGTGCAATTAGTATAGTGGAAAACTTTCGACAATTAAAACTGCGTTAAATGATTTCGATGCGAAAGCCGATTCAGAAAGTTCTTCAACTTAAGATCAAGCGAAATGCAATTGAAGTAAAGCTATGGAGGCAGTTTGCAGTTAAGATAGAGAATATAATGTAAATACAAATCGAGATTTAGAGTGGTTCGATCAATCTTGACCTATATCCACTTTTGGCTTCCTCCTCTGATGAGGTCACCGACATCTACTAGAGGCCTTCCTTCAATAGGCGAAGGCCAACCACCCTTTTATAGTTTCACTCTTTTTGACGGGCTTAGGAGACAACCCTTATAGATTTTTCCCTCCTCTCTTGAATGATCAAAACTTGGAAGAAAAGAGGGAAAAGGACTTTTGGCCTTTACAACACTTTTGAGCTCTAACAATCATAGAATAAGATCAAGATTTCGGTGCCCTTTCATGCATGAAAGGTTAGGGTATATATAGGCCCCAAACAGGTTTGAATTTGGAGCTCAAAACTATCATCTCCTAGATTTCTGGGGTCTAGTAGTACTACCGCCATTACTGGGCGGTATCACCGCTTGGTATAGCTCGGAGACCAAGCTCAGGCAGTACCACCGCCTGACTGGGGCGGTACCACCGCCCAGCCTCGCTTGGAGACCAAGCTCAAGCGGTACCACCCCTTGACAAGGGTGGTACCATCGCCTAGCCTTGTTCGGGGACTGAGCCCAAGCGGTACCACTACCTGACAGGGGTGGTTCCACCACCCAGCCTTACTCAGAGATTGAGCCCAAGCGGTACCATGCCTGACAGGGGCAGTTCCACTGCCCAGCTTTCTTAGGAGACTGAGCTCCTAGGCGGTGCCACCGTCGGCTAGGAAATCTGGGTCCGAATGGGCTGATCCATTCGACCCAATTTGGGTCTATCAAGGGCCCAATTGCCCCAAGATTAAGTTAATGGGATCACCTCCCGTTTCTAACTTAATCATCATGCTAACTATGATATTTTAAGACATTATACTACAGTTTGCTCCGGTGCATCAATCGCTTCTTCCGGCGAGCTTTCGGCAAACTTCCGACGAACATCTGACGAACCCTTGACGATGCTCTAGTGGACTTCCGGCAAACTCTTGGACTTGCGTTGATCTACTTGGCGAGTTCCGATGAGCTTCTTTGGCAAGCTCCTGGACTTCTCGGATTTGTTCTCGTAGAACCTCTGACGACCGTCCGAACTTCCGTCGAACTCTCGAACCCCCAACGTGATCATAGTCTTGACTCCGACGCAACTCCTGCTGCATGTCTTACTTTTATTGTAGTTAATCCTACACACTTATCTTAATATATGGATTAGATAACAAATGACAATTGACTTCATCATCAAAATCCGAGATTCAACAGTCACTTAGTAGTGGAGGTGAGTGGTTTGGCCTCTACCCACTTAGTGAAACAATCCAACAAGATTATTATGAATTAGCAATGTCCGAAGGCCAAAGGAAAAGCCCGAAGAGGTCCATTCCCCACTGGGCTAAGGACCATGCATTGTTGATTGGGCTAAGACGCACCATTGGTTGGTGTTGGATATGGGCATACCTCTAGCATCTATCGCACTTCTGGGTGTAGGCCATCGTGTCTTTCCTTGCGTCAACCAATAGTAATCTTGATGCAAAACTTTAAAGGTGAGTGTTCGACCTTAGATGTGCACCCCGCACATCCCCTCATGCACCTCGGCTGAGATGTGTTTGGCCTCCTAAGAGGCCAGACACTTGAGAAGTAGTTTGCTAAAGGACCTACGATACAATCGGTCATTTATTATATAGTGTCATGACTAGTGATACTTAACTCACTTTATCGATACCTAGTCGATTGGGAGACTTGCAAAGCGTCAATGCTCATCGTCGATAGTGCCTCATCTCACATATATCTATCCTTCACCATCCAAGCTGAAGCCAGCCTCACCACTGCATCAGCCTAGGTGTTTTCCTCCAATGGCACTTAGAAAATCTGGAACTCAAAAGAAGTGAGAAGTTAACTTTTGTACCACGACGAGCTATTTTGCCATTACTTCGTCTTAAGCCACAAAGTGTCCTATGATCTGACTCACAACCAACTACGATTCGCTATAGATCGCTAGTCTTGAAATGCTATACTCTCTTGCTAGTCTGAGCTCGGACAAGAGGGCCTCATACTCTATCTTATTGTTGGATATCTTGAACTTGAAGCGAAATGGCTCATAGACCTATGCATTAGGGCTCCTTAAGATGAGTTTGACACCTCCCCCTTTAGCGATTATCGACCTATCAACAAAGAGAGTCCAAGTAGGGTGACTGGTCTCATTTGTCAGGGATGACATCGTAAGCCTTGAGATGAAGTCTGTCATAGCCTAGGCCTTTATAGCCACCCTCGGTACATAGATAAGGTTAATTTTGTTGAATTTAACTGACCATTTTATTAGCCTACCCAACACATCGAGTTGAGACAATACTTGTCAGAGTGGTTAGTCGATGATCACTTAGGTTGCCAGGGTGGCTCAGTAGGGGTTTGGGGTGTCGCAAGTTGTTTTGGGGAAGGAGGATGGGGGATGTGCATTAGCTGAACTAGCTATCGGAGCAGATGAATGACTACTACATCATCCCTATCAACATTTGAACTTACTGTACAAGATTCATGAAGATCTCGATCGACACTAGCATGTGGGTCGGTGTTGCCATCATACGGGAGAGGCTAGGGTCATTAAATAGTTGCCAATACTACATGGCCATTTGGGTAGAGGTAGAGGCGCTGAGTGTCGAAAATGTCGACTGTTAGCCTCGTTGAGTGAAGGTATTGTGGATCAATGGTGGAGCACCCTCGCTCGAGTACTTATTGAGTAGGTTAGTGGTGTGGCACTCTTACGATACGGATATCTCCTTCTAGCATCAAAATAACGGTGACAATAGTCTATCTATGTTCAAGAGTCCAAAATAATTGAGGAGGTAAGTTGCTACTATTTGACTTTGGCTAACTACCACGCCATCTAAGTCTCACCACATCATTTGAGTTGGCAAGGTCTACAAAGCATTGGTATATTCTTTCAAGCCAGAATTCATCAAATGATAATAGATCTACAAGGTCTACAAAGCATTGGTATATTCTTTCAAGGAAGAACAAAGATGAATCTGTTACATATTCATGTGGCTGGCATGGTGAATCTTTCTGAGTACAAGACAGTGGCTGTAGCCAATGGCAGTGTTGTGAGAGCATGGATGACATTTGATAAGAGCTTGGAGCAACAACAAAGTGACCAATTATTTTGTAATGAGCAATCTGTTCTAAGCCTGAAGAAATTCCACAATCCAACCATTTAACCAACCAACAACACAGTTCAACATGTGAAGGAGGAATTCATTCATTTTGCCAGATCTTTCGATCTTCTAAGCTACCCAGATTGTTGCTTCATGTGCAATTAGCAAGATCTGTTGAAAAATCCATCTTAAAATAAAGACTATCATACATGTAAAAAGAAACCAACACAAAATGTGCATCCATTAACAAATGATTGTTTACCAAAGTTTACAAAGATATGAGGGCAGCCATGAAACCCTTAAATTGAGAAAGAAAGGACATGAACTCCATTAACTCTCAATAGAACCTCGGCCTTCACTTTAGTGTAAATTTGCTGGAGCAACAAGATATCTTGATTCCATACAGAACACAGAAAAGAACTGTACAACCACTTACATTTGCAGTAGTAAGTTCCAGAACAAGAACATGCATATAATGCAAACCATCAATGTGCTAAAAGATCTAAATTTTTTTTATACTTCAACAGTGTGATATATCCTATATAGGAGGATGCAAGTTCAGCAGTAACCCAATTGTGCAGACGAAACCCCTACTTGAGATCAAATTCAATCTTTTGTCCCGCTAGAACTGGCTTCCTCAGAAACAATACCAGAAACATCGTTGGCCACAGCAGCTTGAACGGGGTCCTCAGATCCATCACCAGCACTCTACAAGTAACCATATAGATAAGTTCATTAGCATCTTAAAACTGAATGAAATGCCCAAGTGCAGAAGACAGCAAAAAGCTTGAAGTGAAAAAACAAGCTTATAAATTGCAATGTGTTGAAGCAAATAAAAGCAAATCTACATCGGGCATAACTGAGTTCACACTAGAGTGGTGACGCCCAGTTCCAAAATCATTTACCTTAATGAATCATTAAGAAGAAGCATTACCTCAAATTGCTGGAGAACAAAAACTGTCTCCTCGAGATCACCACCATTTACAATAAGCAATTCAGCAAGATATTCCACAGAAATATCAGGAAAAATTGATGAAAGATGATCAACTTTTGCATCCCATTCACTAATTTCATCTTGCAAAATCTCATCAAGATTGTCAAGCTGATCTGTTTTTGAGGATGATGCACCAGAAAGATCGAGTTTTCCAAAGCTCTTAATGTCATAGTCCAAGGTGTCTGGTACCTGATGTTCTATAGAGTTCTCAACAGCCTTATCCTTTCCAGGCAGACCAACTGCCGGTTCTGTGACCTTGTCTCCTGTTCCATATAAGAGTTTCCAGACAGGAACATAGGGAGCAGCATCAGGATTCAAAAGGGATTTTTTTTCCGCCATTTTATCAGCTGGAACAGATTCAAAAGAAAAAGAACTTTCAATGAAAATTTATTTATTAAAGAAAAAGAAATGACCAAGTACAGAATAAGAGATAAAAATTACGACATTTTTCTTATACTACTTGAGCCGGATGAAAGGAAACCTTCACGACAGAATAAGGAACCTATCTCGATTTTTCTTTTGCTAGGCCCATAGCGAAAAAACCTACTTTCTTACGATTACGAGGTTTATTCGAATATGAAATCCAATCTCGGAAATACATCATACCACCTTTTTTTTACTACCCAAGGGTTTGAGACATTTCCAAATCAAGAATATCTACAGGAGCAGGTGCTATACTTCGACAATTTCAGGCTTATTCTTAAAAATATTTGCAGAAATGAGAAAATAACTATCACCTTGGATGGGTTAAGAGAGTTAGCGATAGCATCAGCTAATATAGAAATTACATAGGAGATAAACACTTGTAATCTTCAAATGTCTATTCTTGCCAGAGTTTAAGATGATGATTCTCTTTTTGAGTCGAACGCTCAGTCATAAAGAGGTGTAGTAGACAAAAACTACAATGGCATGATTATGTAAGTGGTATGTGTTTCATTCATAACAAAGGCTATAATGATTGATTTTTAATGTTTTTTCTTTCTCTAAAGATAGTTGTTAACCTAAGGAGTACATGGTTAAACGATGTAATCAAGATATGCTATTTTGATAGATATGTTAGAAATAAAATTTGACCAAGCATAATCTCCACAGTTTAGACCTAGATCTTATCACTGCGTCATACAGAAGAATGCAGTCCAATCTAGAAATCGCAACAGAAATACATAACACCATTTCCTATATGTTATTCAAAATAAACCAGAAATTCAAGTAAGACAATTCTTATGAAATCTTGAGCCACTAACAACAAGATCCACTGGACAATGAAAAAGCCCTCTTGGTCATGAAATACGATCGTAAGCATCTCTCTCCAGTCTCCATTACCCTCCGGAAACTAGACAATCAGAAACCTAAAAAGAATCATCGCCACTCATTCCATGAATTACTCGAGAATCCCCAATTCTCCCAAAGGAGAGCCCTCAATTTTCAAAACCTAAAAACCATAATTCCTTCGGAAAAGAACAATGATTCCTGTAAGAACACAAAGAAGGGTCTCTTTGTCCCCGTAACAATGAATCCAAAGACCAATTCGATACCCTCGACGACATGCTTCTCCAGTACCCTTCACAAAGCGAGCACAAGCACATTACTCGTTCCGTATATCATTTTATGACTTCCCAATTGGCCCAGAAGAAGAGATCCCTACATGCTGAAGGGCCTAAGAACCATAATTGCTACATCAAATCGAAATCGCAAACGCGAGCCGATCAACAACAGAAGTCTCAACGGCAGATCACTACGACGTGGATACAAACAAGGAGCGATTACATTCAGGAGGAACAGAGAGAGGATACGAAATCCTACACGAGATCGAGGAACGAGACGATGGTTCGATCGAATGGAGCGCAACCAGAGGAGGGCGAATTCGGGGGCTCGCCTTCTCAGATCTCCCCTGGTTCGCTTCCTTCCCAGGAGTTACGGGGTCGAGGGAAATCGAGGCGTTCGAGGTGAAAGGTTATGGAGCGTGCGAGTTCCCGCACACGCAGGTTAATTTGTAGCATAAAAAGAAACGCATTATGGCCGTTGGATTCTCCATCAACGGTCCACAATTAAAAAATATTATCTATAAAATTTTTGTCCGGTGAGAATAGAATATTGAAATTGACACATGTGTTAATAAAAAAAAATATTTTTATTCATCAATAATTAGGTATCATTTGTAAGATAAAATTATTTAATATGATATAAATATATACTTTAAAAAATTATGAAGATCATAATTAAAAGAGTTAAAATAATTAATTTTAAGGATACGATGAGCGATAGAGAAAGATCCAAAAAGATTTTTTTAGGATGATTTTTTATAAATTTTAATAATGATTCCAAATAATTAAGACTTTACGATTTTATTATTGTTGTTTACTCCCCTCCAACAAATAATTCAACAAAAATCTAATATAGGTATGCTGCTTTTGTAAACAAGTGAATTGGTATTAATTTCATCATAAGACATAATCATTTACGGATCATATGATTAGATAAAATAATAACTATGATCATTAATAAAATATTTATTTTTTTGTTATTGGCTTGATAACATTAAAAATAATATTGGGTAGGATAGATTTGACTAGAATTGGATGTGGTTCGTTTTGATCGAAGCTAAATTTGACTAAAGTCACGGTTGAACCCAAACCTAGTTTCGATCGCACTAGACCCAATAACCACTCCTAATTAAATTTGAACCTTTTTTTTTTAAATAATCTATATCGTAAAGGTATAAATAATATTAAACATGGTTTGAAGATATCAAAATCTTCAACAATATTAACAAAAAATTAAGATATCAAAATTGAAGACATAAATATCAAAATTAACTATAAGATCCTTATAAGATCATATCCTTTTTAAATTGAAGATCCAAAGTTGATTAATATCAAAATTTTATAAAAACTTAAAGAACTAAATTATCAATCACATGTTTTGAAATTTAAACTATAGAGAAAGGAGGAGAACATACGTTTGCTTAGAGCCAATGATCTCAACTAAACATTTTATAGGATCTAATCCAACGCTCAAGGTAGATGAAAAGTGAGAAGTTCACCTTGTTTATACAGGGGATGAGGAGGATTTCTAATAAGGTAAGAATTGTTATTTTATTTTTATTTCTAATTATAAATAATTGAGTAATACTTTTTCTTGTACAAAATATGTATTAATTGTTGAAATAAAATTTTGCATTCAGATTAGGAAGTAGGTAATAAATATTTTAGTTAAGAAATAAAAATTTAGGACATTAAATTTCTTCTCCACATGGATTATTGAATAGTTTAGATATCAAATTAACATAGATCCTAAACTTAAATCAAAGTTAGTTCTATATTTACTTCATATTTAATTAATTATTTTTAATTCAATGAATAAGTTCAATTCAATATCCATCTTTGAGTTTTGAACGAGTGTGATGGGTTGGATGTGGGTGATATTCTTAATAGTTCTATTTGGTGTAAGTTTGTATATTCAACGAATCTAATGTAATTGAATAAGGGTCTCGAGCATTCAGTTGGTGGTCAACCCACATGAAGATTGAGTCATCGAGGTTGGGTGAGGTCACCAATGAGATCCCTATGATGATCTAGCTAGCTCTAAGAGGAAAGCAAGAGTTTTCAGTAAATAGTAATTGACATTAATTACTATAGTATATTGGGATTTTTTTGGTATGCTTAACCCATGGGTATATTATGTGGTGGTATATGCAAAATATTCAAATAAAATTTTATATTGATTGAGTCGATGTCTATGTAGGTCGAGGCTCATGTCTACTTATTAACTATATTGCCACATGTCAAGCCATGATTTGAGAGCTCTTCTAAAGGAATTTAGAAGTGCAACCAAGCAATGTCTTAGTACTCCTCCGATCAATGCATTGGTTACTCCAAAGGTTCGACTCAATGTGGGCATCAAGATGTCTAAGGTCTAGCTGTAGATGAGGATAAATAAGGTACATTTTCAATGCTTAGCCTACGAAGAGTATATTGAGCGCATTTCTAATGCTTAGTTTGAATAGGATGCATATTTTTTATGGTTAGACCTTATAGGATGCATTGGGTATATTTTTGATGTTTTGTTAGAAGGGCACATCGAGGTACATTTGTGATGCTTAGCTTGAGGAGGGTATATAAGATATATTTTTTATGTTTAGCTCGAGAAGGATTCATCGAGTATATTTTTATACTTAGCATGATAAGGACGCATCGAGCACATTTCTGATACTTAGCTTGAAAATAATACATCATCCATGTTTCTAATGTTTAACCTAAGAAAGATGCATCGAGCGATTTTTTGATACTTAGCCTAAAGAGGATTAATTGGATATATTTTTTGCTTAGCTCAAGAATGATATATTAAGCATACTTTTAATTCTTAGTTTGAGAGGGACGCACACTTTTATTTCTAATGTTGACTCCAACTATCAATTAGCTTTAACAGTCGATTAAGCTTTACCTTCGTTAATACGTCAAAAAATGAGCCATTTATAAAGTATTGAGTTAGTATAAGATCGAGTAGGAAAATTTGTTGGGAAACCTAATGGGACTTCAAGAAGTTGAAGTAGTGGTCCATGGTTATAAGAGGGTCTCCCCATAGTTGTAGGGTATACTTTGCATTGTGAGCCCCCACTTATCTGCTTCAAGTTGTCTATCCCCACTTCCTCGCCTCTTAGACTTTTGAAGCATCATCTTGAAAATCCTCCTATGTTAAGTTGGGAAGATGTTTTCTTCCTTATCATCTTAGTTTTACACCCTTATCCAATATATGATTGACGGAGTCCAATTCCTATCCACGGAAAGCCCAAGGATGGGAAGGAGTGTGTCGTCCTCTTCCTCTTCAAGGGAGGCGAGCAGGATATATCTAAAAGTCATCAAGGATCTTTGGATCATGCAAGATGCCAATAACTAAGATCCTATCCTGACCCCTAAGTACTTAGAGTACTTTTTCCTTAGGTGATTAATCTCGGATAAGTAAAAAATATAGATAACTCAAGCATGATAGTATGTGCATGACCTGAAGTGTAGGTACTTTTGCCTATACATCAATGCACCAAAGACTAAGCTTCAATTCCCTCTTCATCCTTTGATAATGGCATATCTCTATTAGTGGAGGATATCGTCGTCTCAAATGACACACAAATTATGATGCTATCTCATTACCTTTATCAGAAAATATTACTATATTGGCATTACCCTCACACTGAGCCTAAGTTCTTAGAGTGCTTTTGCTTATCGTGACCCCTAAGTACTTGGATTACTTTTGCCTTATGTGATCAATCTTGGATGAGTAAAAAAATATAAGTAACTCGAGCATGACAGTATGTGTATGACCTGAAGTTCAAGTATCTCTACCTATACATCAATGCGCCAGAGGCTAAGCTTCAGTTCCCCCTCCATCCATTGATAATGGCATGCTTCTGTTGGTGAAGGATATTGTCATCTTAAATAGCATCCAAATTATGGTGCTATCTTATTATCTTCATCGAAAAATATTGTTATGTTGGCATCACCCTTATACTGAACCTATTCCACTCCTATTTTAGAGTTTATAAGAGGGCCAACAAATACTATCTTATATCTCACGAGGGATTTAAGGTGAAGGGGCCCCTAACTTTTAACAAGAGTTAGAAGGGTGATATTTCTTCATCAAGACCAATCTAGACTAAGACATCGAGATAAGATGGATTGAAGGTACCCTAAGAAATATAGAAGGATGACCAATAACCACCCCCTAGGAGATGTATACTCTACTCTTTGCTATCACTTCTCAGTTCCTTGTAGTTTGGTACTAACATATTGTGCTCTTTTCATATTGAATAATCACTACTTGATGAGACTAGTTGACCAAGTTAGAGAATTGAGAGTTATTGTATCCTATATGATATAGGAAGTAGATTGGCTTTAGGCACAAAATATGGAGCTAAAAATAAAATTACTAATATTTAGGTCACTGCGAAGCTGGAGAAGAAGGTGAACAACCTCAAGGCCCCACTTATCAAGAAGTGGATGGTCAAGACACCTAATAAGAGCAATATCCATTGGGCCAAATAGTTGAAGGCGATTTGAGGCTAATATCAATTCATGGAAGATAGCTAACTCCAAGAAGAAAATAAAAGATATAAAGGAGCGACTTGGGTAGTGGGATCATCGAATTGAGGGAGTAGCTAGAGGTTAAGATGACTTTGTTCCAAAGAGGGAGACTAAGGCCGTCATAAGATACAAGAGATCGATTAGGTATAAGAAAGAGCTCCTGCACATAGGGGATGCTTCCTTCAAAGTCAAACATCCTAAGGAACTAGTGGAGGAGAACCCTTATACTGACCACCCTGAGGATGCTAATGTGCCGATGACATTAGAGGTGCCTTTCGATAATAATCCAAACTTTTTAATTAGTGCGGGCATATTGGTGGCATAACCTAATCCAACTGAGATATCATTTTGGAACTATATAGACTCGACTTATATAATATAACTTTCTTTGATGAGTGAGACTTCCTTTACAAATTTGTTTGTCAAAATCTTATTTGAAATGAAGTACAAATTATCTTCCGATAATTATTTGTTCGACACCTAATATAAGATTTAAGGATAAAACTTTCATAGGTTGGTGATGTGCCATGTTCGAGGGAGTGCTATCCCTCCCATTGTCCCGAGTCTTATCTCAAACGACTTTGATGACTCGATATAGTTCTTTCCAATTTGGCATTAGCTTCCTCTTAGACTAGGTCATGTCGTTGATCTTTACCTTCTAAAGAATTAAGCCATCAAGCCTAATACCTCATGGGCGGATACCTCGGTTGTAGAGCTTGGCCATCATTATTATTTTTCGTAGCATCTTAAAGTGTGCATTGACTTGGACTTTCATTGATGATGTCTAAATTTATTATACTTCTCGATTCAATAGGTCGGGAAAACTACTTTAAGTGGTAGAAGTGTCTCGATACCGAACAATGGTATGAATGATGACTCATCCAACCTAGTTTTTAGATTGGTTTAGGAAGTGCATAAAATGTCGGGTAGCTCATTGACCCATGTGTCTTTTGTGGCATTGACTCACTTCTTAAGCCTCTATAGTGTCGCTTTGCTTATCACCTTGGTGAGCCATTGGTCAATGAGCACTGAGCTAAACTTTATCCTTATATCTTAGGACTACTAAGATTCCTCAAATTTTATGTTATTTAATTAGGTTTCAATGTCAGTGATTATAGCCCTTAGAATTCTCGAAGTGGGTGATGATGTTCTTTCACATGACCCTTCAACTTGTCTCTCGGTAATAAACACAAGAGGCTTGGCTCGAAGCTAGTAGGAAAGGGCTAAGGAAGTTCATTCCCCATTGGGTGAAGGACCAAGCACAATCGATCAAACTGAGTGAAATGGCTAGCTTATTATATTTGAGTGAACCTCTAGTATTAGTCATACTTCTAGGTGTAGGCTATTGCATTCTTTTACAGCAATAGCCAATAGTACCCTTAACATTGAACCTTAAAAGCTAATATTCAACTATCGATGTGCAAACTACATATGCCTTTGTATACCTCAACTAAGACTCTCTTAACTTCTTGGGGCACTAGACATCAGAGTAGCAGTTGGCTGAAAGACCTACAAAAAAGATGGTAATTCATAATGCATTACATGTTTGGTAGTATTTGACTTGTCTTGTTGAGGAGGGGTCAATCAGGAACGTCTCATCCCTCATGTATCATAGGATCTCGTCCGTTCATTAGGGCTTACCTTAATATGAGAGACTTTTAGGGTATTGATGTTTTATGCAGACAATACCTCGATTTAAATGTTGTTGTCCTTTGCTATTCATACATAAGTCAATCTCACTAGCACATCAACTTGGTATAGGTTAGTGATTTGCTAATCAACCTAACTTTGTTCAGGTTCATGTGCGTAAGGAATCTAATATAGTCGAACGAAGAGCTCAGGCATCTACTTAGTAATTGACTCAATCATGAAATCACAAATACTAGAAGGCAAGCTTATCCAAGATGTCATGTTATATATATATATATATATATATATATATATATATATCATTTGACACGTGACGTCCAAGCTAAAAGAATGAGATAGAGGTTGCTCTCCATTAGTCTACCCACATGGACAAGGGCTCAAGATAAGTAGTTGCAAGTTGTCTCCCCTCTTATTGCTCACGTGGAGAAAAGGCCAAAGGGAAGGTTATTAAATATGGTTGAGGGCTACTTCTTTATGGAATATTTTATAAAATATTTTACCCATTTATGATCAAGTATAAAAGCTTATTTTTAGTGCAGTCTTAAGCAATCACTTTTCACCACTCACGTCCACTCATACCTACCTCAGATACTAACTTGAGCATCGAAGAGATCGAGCCGAAAAACCTCTCTTGACCTCGGTCTTCATGCAAGTGCCACATCAGGAGTTTAGCATTTTCACTTTGGAGACACCTTGGATAACTCTACGGATATAGGTCTGGACTACATCAGGCTGACCAAGATATCAATAACAACTTTTCATAACATTTTAGCACTAGAAGGAAGGCTCGATATCGTAAGAACACTCACTTATTAATGATCTCAATGAACGCTTAAGTGAAAATGCTTTGCCCCAACCCATAATATTTTCACTCAATAGGAGCAACAACCATCCTTTTCACATATCGATGCATCCACCTCGACGTAGTAGTGATGAGATACAAATGTCAATTCAACGACCCAGGTCTCTTACCCCTAAAGATGGCTTCGAGCCACATACTCATCCAGTCGATGTATTCTTAAATCTCACTTGCAAATGTATATGCAAACAGACATGATATAAGTTGTCATTTTGCTTTTACCCTAGTTGGCCCAACAGGTAGTGCCACTAACTTTATCACTGTCCTCGGCTCCATTGTCACATCATCTATTGAGATTCTTAACCCGACGTGATGTCGACATCTCAAGAACACCCAAAGCCTATCGAATCATTGATCTATGGGGCACTTTAATCTTGAATCGTATAATTCAGTGGACTACACCATCCTAAGTCTATTGTACTTAAATTTGAGGCCTAATCAATAGAATCTAAGACCTAGTCAACAAATTTGATGAAGAGTTATAACAATCAAAAGTGGCAGCACTGATTGACCCCATCAACATCGATCTATATTCATTTAAAAAATTCAAAAGAATTAATTCCAACAAACTTTTATCTCTCGTTATAGAAAATCCAAAACGAAAAACTGTATTGAAATATTTTTTTTTGTTTCTATGATTTTCACTCTTTTTGAATTGTATGCCATAAAAAAAAAACTCTCAATTATCTTTCGAAGGACCACATAAATCATTGAGTAAACCACCAAACATCGAATAATTGCACATGTATGTAGGTTTTCAGTTTTCATATTTGCCCGTATAACTTGAAACTTAAGATAGTTATCCTTGCATAATTCATACACATATATATTAAGTAATCTCCATTACTGATAGTCATTGATCCAACGGCCAGAATCATCCGATTCAACGCACACCCGAATCGGAGGTTTGATTGATCTTGCGTCAAACGTTTCGGCGTTCTATTAGGCAAAGCAGCTGCTCGCTGTTTTCAGTTGGACACTGGATTTGGAGAGGCTCTAGGGTCAAATCATCGGCGACGCTAGTGACGCCACGTGTGTGAACCCGCCGTCTTCCACCGCCAAAAGCTCCGTTCCCCGAACCGTGGAACAAATCACGAGCGACCAAATTGACGGTCGATATGTGATATCTCTTCGATCGACGGACGAAATTCGTCCTACGTGAGATCGTGATGAAACGGTAACCGACGGACCGGGAACGGCGTTATGTGCTAGTTAATAAGACAAACGGGAGAGAAGCCGAGGACAGCAGCATACAAGTCTTCCCTTCCCTGCCTCGCTCGCTTCGGTGCGCTCGCTTTCAATCTGTAGGCATCTTCCAGGAACGGTTCTCTTCGTCGTTTTTCTTCGATCTAGATAACATATGAGAGACGAAAAATTCGATTCAGAAGCGACAGAAGTGGTTCTTTTGGAGCAGATCGAGCGGAGATCTTCCGGACGTGCCATCTTTCGGCGGATTTGGCCTGTTGTCCAGGCATGTGGTAAGATTTGAGGTTCTTGGAGTGTTTTACTCTGGAAATAACGGATTTTTATGGTCTTTGTGTGTTGAGACTCGTGAAATGTGCCCGGATGGAGTAGTGGTTACTGGAATTTCTGCTATATTTCGTTGGGTAGACAGGGAACTAGAATTCCTGGCTTTGAGGTTTTGATTTGGGATGGATCAGATCTTGTATCCCTTTTTTCTTGAAATGTGAAATGCCATGCCCTTGTATTCTTTGCATAATCTAACGGGAGATGTGACACTTGGTTTGTTTTTTTCTCTCTTCTTCTTTCCCTGTAGAGATCTGCTTAGAAAGCAGCTGGAATGCTAATATACTACCATATAAATCTGGATTGCTCTTCGTACTATGGTTCTGTAGTTGGTGGTTGGGATTGTGATTCTGTGACAAGTGTCATCTCCTTTTTTAGTAGGAATGCTGATTTAAAATGTGATCATCGCACTGAGGTGACTGAGTTTAATGTGATTGGACATGTTGGACCTTACTGAGAAAGCACAGAGATCTACAGTGTGGAATCTGGTAAATGATCAGAAATGCTGATTATTGTTTCTGTTCCCATGTTCACAGGTGTTTTTGGTGCATGTGATGCTTGCTTCGGCTTGCCATGATGAAGGAAATTGAGGATTCCATTAGCTATCAGGTTTTGTTCCGAGCACTTCAAAATATTGTTGTGGAGCAATTGTAATACCATGACTGTATCAATGTGTATCATAACAGCTTCTTTTAGTATTCAGATTTCTAATTTGAATGTGTGACAATTTTAGACCACCTAATTGTGAACTGGACTTTATCCTTTTTGCTCATATGCCACCAAGATCTAATATATTCACATATTTGAGTTGACAACCCCTCTTGCCACACAGGAACCGTGGAAGGAAAGCCAATCATTGCTTCCTGATATGATAGGTTAAATCTTTAAGATAAAATAAGGCATGTATCCGACAACAAAAAATACTTATACATGATGTTCTATATGAAAAAGCATTATTATGCATAGTGTTCTATATCAATTTTCTCTCAAATGGAAATCAAGGGATTAGTCCATGACATGTTTGTTTGTTGTCTAATAATTGGGCTTCCAGCTATTTCCTTAAGATTTGAGCAATATACCATGATTCTGAACTGCAAATTTTCCACTTATTTGTCATTTGCCTCTTAATACTGAGAATTCTGTTTCTTGACAGGCTGAGACTATATCTTCTGGGTCGATATCATTTGGCCGTTTTGAAGCTGAAACCATGTCATGGGAAAGAAGGTCATCATTCTCCCATAATAGATACCTTGAAGAGGTTGAGAAATATGCCACACCTGGTTCAGTTACTCAAAAGAAAGCTTATTTTGAAGCCCACTTTAAGAAGAAGCCTCTTCTGCATCACACCTTTCCAGGATTTCAAAGTGAGGCCAAATTGCAGTTTGCTGAAGATTGTGCTGGAAATCACACATGGAATGTTGATGATTCGGTAGAATGTGGTGATGATGGACAAGTTGAATACACTTTCTTTGAGGCACCATCAGTATCTGGTGAACATGAGGTAACAAAATGTGAACAAGAAGAAGTGTTGAGCCCGAATTTCTCGAGAGAATATACTCCATGGAACAATGAAGAACTGTCAGACCGTGGTGCTTTTGACTATGGTGAAGCATATCAAGTACAGTCTAATATCACTCCACAGGATGGGAATGATATGCAAATAGTTGCCAAAGAGAATCATGAACATGAGACTAGTTCTCATCAAGAATTACTTGATGGCCAGGAATTTTCATCTAAAATTCCTTCAGATGTGAAAAATAAGACTCCTGTTTTGAACAAAATGGAAAGAATGTCTACTGAGGTGAGATTTTTAAACTCTCATTTTTCCCTAAAATGTTACCTTCATGACAAAGTTTAATAAATCAATGAATGATCTGACCATACAAAAAGTTCACTTTAACTATTTTTTGCTTTTTTTCCTAGTATTTTACACCGTTCATCTACTTCTTTGTATTAAGGTACCAGAAAAAGTTGAAAAGAAATTTGCAAAAGGAAAATTGAGGAACCAGTTGCCTGATTCACAGACTTCAAGAAAGCCTTCAACTTATAAGAGTTCTCATTCTGCTGGTAAGACATTTCCAAAAAAATTAGTTGAAGTGGAAAGGGGAGATACAGAGAAGATGCAACCACAGCAAAGGTTTCCTGCAAGAATTTCACGAAGTTCTTTAGATTCCAAAAATCAGAAAGCAGTGGTAAATATTTTAACTGACTCTAAATGGAGAGCCATAAGAAAAATTCAGAACACTTAGGTTGATAAATTGTGTTTATCTAGCTTAATAAGTTAATAATACATTTCATAGAAGTTCACTAAGTATCTATTTTTTTTCTTAAATATCTTTCATGGTCAATGAATTTTCTTATTGCCTATTCACCAAATGTTCATGAAAATAATATTAGGTAGTTGTTATTGTATTTTGAGCCAGTATCTGTTTACAGGAGCAATTCCTGAACTTCCAGGAAGAATAATTGGCATTTTTGTGTCACTGCTTTTTTCCTTTTTGATGGTAAATGTCTGTTGCAGGATTCAGAAAAGCTGAAAGCTAGGGTAGGAGAAGAGAAGAGAAGGTACTTCTACATGGTTATCTGGAAGCTCTTAGTAGTTTTAGCATTCCCTAATTACGATATTAATTCACCTTCATATTCACTTGCCATGGTAAATGCTTATCTTCTGTTGTTGATTTATGCACTCAACAGTGAGAAATGTCTAAGTGGACAGATGGTAATTCATGTCCTTGATCCCCTTCCTGGAAAATGTCAAACTGATATACAACAATCTGCGGACAGGTTATTAAATAAATCCTCCAAACTTGATTTTCTGTTTTATTGTGTCCTTTTAAGGGATATCTTTCCTGTAGATGTGCAAGGGTTCCTCTTTCAGATCAAACAAAAGTAAAACATAGAGCTGATGCTTTCAAATTTAGAAGTGATCAGAGGGCTGAAAAAAGAAAAGAGGCAAGAATTCATTATAATCTCTTTTTGTACTTTTCTTGCTATTACATATTGGATCACTGGTATTTTACTCAATCATTTGCTTTAGTTTTACATGAAATTGGAAGAAAAGATGCATGTGAAAGAGGCTGAGATGACTGAGATCCAAGCTAGAACACAAGTATGTATTATGTTCCCTTTCCTTGGAATTTTATTGCTTGTTCCTTTATTTCTGTAATTTAAGTGGAGTTTTTCTCCTCATTTTGCAGTGAAATATTCTGTGCATGTTAGACCTTCTGCCTAAGCCTCAGGCCTTGTGACTTAGATGAAATTTATATATGTATGCTGAAAAAATATATATAATGACCTTGGGTAGTCAAAACTGTTGCCAGACAACTGTTATTATGGTCTCTTGGTACTAATTCATGACCCTTTTTACATGTCAAATTGTCTAAATTGTCTGAATCGTAAAAGGTAAGCTCATAGGACGCAAATTTCTCTCCCAACATTTTCTAATGACCTGTAATCCCGAGCTCTCAATCATTATTCTATTGACAACAACCAATAAATTATGATCTTGCATACTGCTATCATCATGTCTTATTGAGGTATGGTACCAACCAGTAGCTGTCACTGGATTTTCCTAAAGAGAATTGCTCAGAGATTATCATCTGGTTGCTTATAAACAGAAGTGTCATGCTTTACTGCAGGAAGAAGCAGATGCTGAGATTAAGCAGCTGCGGAAGAGCCTTAACTTCAAGGCAACTCCTATGCCTTCTTTCTATAACAAAGCTGCACCGGCAGTCCTGAATGGAAAAAAGGTCCCTTACTGCCTCTTATTCTTGATGACTAATAGTTTTTTTATAAGCATGATAAGAAGGGGCAGCAGAATTTTTGTTCACCTCATGTTCTCTTATAACTACTACCAAAACAAGCCATAAAATTTGTAATAGACATCAAGATGCCATGATTTTTTGTTTAAATTATTTTACTCTACTAATTGGGCTAATATATTAACGTTGTTATTACATGGTAATTGTTTTTAGTGGCATCTTATTACTTTTTATTCAATGAAAACCCGTTTCTTTGTGCATTTAGTGGCTTTTTAGTTGATACAATCAAGGTTGTGTTATAGCAGAACTGTTCATTTGTTTGTATTTGCAATCTACAGGTGGCTGCAATGCCTGCAAGCTTTTCAAAGTCGCAAAACAAGACTAGGATTTCTGCAAATAGAAACTCATATAGAGATAAATCTCCAGTCATATCTAGGATATATCGAGAGGGCTCCACTGGTGAACCAAAACACACTGATAATGGTCACTACTTTGCAGATTCTGATTGCAATTACTGTTGCTTACTTCAATTTAATGGACTTGGCAATGCAGACAACCATCAGGAAACAGTTCCTGCCAAGAAGATCCAGGCGGGGAAGAAGGACGAGAAGAACAGGCTCCACGCGCAGCAAGGAGATGGCAGCGGAAAGAAGGAAGCGAGGGGAAATATGGTGAGAAGCAGGGTCAGAAAGATGAAGGGTATCGTCGCTGGTAATATAGCAGTCCAAGTTGCATCATGAACTGCAAGTCTTTCATTTTTCCAGTTATCGATACGAGTCGTAAAGAACTGAGAGATGCAGGCGTTCCTGCTGTCTCATCTAACCAGAGAAACAATCTGCCATTGCCAATGCTCTCTTTTGAGCCACTTTTCTAAGTTATCAAAGCCAATTACCTTCTTGTATCAATTTCAAAAGTGCTGGACTTATGATGTTGGTATGTGACAAAACTCAAATAGGTATGTACATTGATGAGCAATTTATTTAGGCCTTCATGTTGATTTGTACTCAGTACTTTTTAATGTTTTCAGCAAGGTTGCGTGCTCTGTGCTTCATTTCAAATAATGATTTGCCCAATGGCAAATTGACTGTTCAGATTGAGATGCTGTCTTCCTCTTCCTGATTTTTTAGTCAGTGATATCACTGATTGTAGTCAGAAATTTACTTAGTTATAATCTGCAACTTCTTTACCAGTTAGCAAACACACTGAATTAAATAAATATTTTCTGAAATTCTCCTTGTTTCAGAAGGTTGATGCATTTGCTTCCTTCTTAATTGTTGAGAAAGAATGTATCAAGAAAATAATGAATGAGATTCAAGATACTAAATTAACTTTTGGCGAAGAAACTTTACCAATTGACTTTTGGAAGTTATTTATAATGGTTCGCAATTCTGCTGCTGGAAAGTAAGGTTACTGAAGATTATAATGCTAGAAAGATTTAAGCCTATGCCACTCAAAATCTCTGGAGGTGTGACCTTCTCCCATTTATTTATTCCATAATGGTAACTGCAGCAATTGCAATTGAAGAACATGATACCAACTAAGGTTCGTTGTACTGTACCGTGCCGACGTTTCGACTCGGGCTCGGTACGGCATGGTACCGGTGTACCGAGTAGTACATCAGGGCATACCACTGGTGTATCGAATAATTTTTTTTTTTTTCATACTGTAGCAATGCTATAGTATAGTATTATAGAACGGTAGCAGTGCTACAGTATATTACTGTAGCACTGTAACGGTACCGGACGGTCCGTGTACCAGTAACCTGTCGGACCGATACATACCGCCCGATATGGGCGGTACACTTCGATACGACAGACCTCGATACCAACAACATTTTAATTTTTACAAAAATTAAATAACATAAACGAAATTTAAACATAAGATTTTATAACAATTTTTTACCAATTAAGTTAGTCAACACCTTCATCTTCTTTATTTGGTATTCTTTGTGAAAAATACCAATAACAAAGGAGAGTTTTATTGCTGACATTGAACTATAACAACTCGATCTATCTCTAAATAGTGTGAGTTATAGACGGTATGAATCCAAAGCAACAAGAAGCATGTTATCACATCATAAATACTATTATTTTTTCCCCATTACAGAAAAATAGCATTTGATTCAATTCCAGCTTTCCAACAATATAACTCAAAATGAATCCAAGACTTATTAAAGCTCAACATATAAGCCACTACACACATACAAGATTTTTAGTTGCGATGGTTGTTTCACAGTGCACAACCCACACTAATTTTGTGTAGAGACCGCATACCCATTATACCTCACAAAAATGATAGTGGATATACAATGGATACCAGCCACAAATAGCATCACCCGGCACCGATCCAAATAGTTAGCAACATACGTCTACATTAGATGTCGAGTACAATTTTCAAATGTCTATCTGAGAGAATACCAGAATCTAAGAGAAACAACTCTCATTCAGAAACTGCACCACCAAACCGTGACGTATGCTTTACTGCTCTGAAAAATAATGTATAGATTTTAGCAACTCCGAAAAATGCATATGTTTAAAGAATAAGATGTGCCAAGAAAATGGTCAAGCAGATAACAGATATTAGATACCATATCTAATCAAATCCAAAATATTGCATAGATAAATAAGATATTTAATAAAATAATTATAAGAATAAGCAAAAAGATAATTAATGGCTGCTATCCTACTCTCTCCCTGTTTAGGCTATCTCTACTTGCCACCTTATTTTGGTAACCAACCCTTAAAGTAGGGTCGGATGCCTAGTTCCAGCCTGGTAGATCCTGGTTCAGGCGCAAAAGGACTGCTGGCCCTTTTAAGATTCTGTTTAACCCCTATCAAGCCTTGCTTTCTTTTTCTCAAACAGAACAAAATAATCAACATAACTATCTAAGATCCTAAGCGAGGAATAATGATAATCCTGATGTGAAATACTGTGTTTGAGAAAGAAACTAGAGTCACATTTAGAAAAAAATCTTTCGCTTGTGAATGAATAAGCAGAATCAACAAAATAAAAACAACTTGACAAACTAAAGTCCTTTCCAAATGACCGCACATTCAATAATCTAAACGTTACAGAATAAGGGAATACAAAGAGGCCATTATGCTATGTATATATCAACCTATTGAGCTGTGATGAGATGGAATATGCGATGAACTGTGATATGTGCTCGGGAATTAAAAGAATAATTTACTAGGACAACTTAATCATTGTCTAAACTAAAGACCTTTCAAAACTCCATCATGGCTGCCCATTACAATTATTCTCTACCGTTCACTACACACCACTCAAGCAACAGATTCAGTGGGAACAAAAGCGGATTACATGACAACTTCATCATTGAAATGTGACACAAATAAATCTTAAGAAAGAAACATCTCTTCCATTTGGAATTTAAAGAACATTGAATTATCCCATCTATACAAACATATAGCTATCACTACTTTTTTTATTCATGTTTATGAGCATTGGACAAGGTAACTGAATCTATGTAATGTACCCTTACTTTTGCAATAAGTAAACAATAAAAGTAGTTCATAGACCAAAGGTATGGCACATCACACAACAATGCATCCTAAAATTATATGTAAATGTCTACCATAGGGGGTGGAACATACAAAACTGTACATGGAGACATCTCATACAAAAATATAGAACATGCACATCAACATAGTTTACAATGTAAATATAAATCAATCGTCTGACACCACATAGTTTGGCCAAAATTGCTTTGTCAAAGCTCAAAAAAAGCTATCAGGATGATTGACAAGACATTCTATGACTTACTAATAATAATATGACAAATCAAATGCACAATTGCCAGATAAAAGTAACTACTGATGGAAACCATATGCAAAAACTTTATTGAAGATTTGGAATTGAACTAAGCTTGTGGCAGAAAAACCTCAAGCATTCATTGCCACTATAAAGTTATGCAAGTTAATTATCTCCAGCTATATTTCAGATTCAGAAGCCCCAAAGACAATTCAAATGGGTATTAATCAGATGGATACTCTATCAAGAATTACAGGAACAATACCTGATCCCCTTGCTGCTTCCACCCCAGTCAGAATAGCTCACTATAAGCTTCTGAAGTTGCCAAACTCCTCGCAGTGCCATCTCTTTAAAGCTAGATCACAAGATACCACCTGAAACAGAAAAAAAGAAGATTACACTTGACCACAAAGATTGCAGATAGGGGAGCAGTGCCTGATCTTCCAAATCTACATATGCATTTAGGTTATTCTTACTATGTATGATTATGAAAAATTTGTAAAAAAAAATTAATGTTTATCTATTCTTTGAACTTTGCGCAAAAAAGAAGGATCTAACCTTGCTGTTATTAACTTAGTTGAAGTTGTATAATCATTCAATTGTATTTTAGCTTCAAGGTAAAAGTATCTCAAATGACATTTTTTTTTCATTTTCAATTTTATGTTGCATCATTTGAACTTTAAATGTTAAAATGACAATTAACATATATCTTCAATGTGGTTGTTTGGCATTTGACTACCTATTTTCATCTTCACACGTAGAAGATATATGTTAATCATCTATCTAATCAAATCTATGTTTAGAGATCAGTTATTATACCAAGAAGCTACAAGTTCAAATAGCCAAATATGTGGTTGATCGTAATGAAAATCTTGAAGATTCTTTAATCTTTCTATCAAGCCAGAAAAAAAGTAAATCGAGACACATCAAGTATGAACAGAACAACCCCAAAATCGATAAATTATCAATCGCGAGTTACAAATTACGAGACCGACAAGGTCAGTATTCCATATGCAATTCCATCTATGATATAGCAACAGAAAAGAAGTGCTCCCAAATAAACCCATTCCAAGCATCGACATGAAGCAGAACCAAGAGAACAAGCATCCTATGCCAGTAAACACGAAAACAACAGGAGCAAGGAATGAAGCAAGAAGGCGAACATCAAACCAAACCGTGACCAAGATAAGATGAGAGAGAGAGAGAGAGAGAGAGAGAGAGAAGAGGAGGAGGCAGGACTGACTTCGTCGGAACTGGGAGGCGATGTGAGGAACGGCGGCGCAATCCAACGTTTTGGGGACAGAAGAGGACGAGTCCGCGAGACGAACGGTACGGATTTATTCGAACCGGCATTGTTGCACCTTTTTACATATATATCCCCGCGAAGATTAGAAAATATCATATTTACCCCTCCGAATTCTAATTATATACATATATATAATCCTTCGTATATTAAATACCATAAAATATGAAAATATTGATTCGAAAGAATATTTTTCGAATAATAATGTTAATTGGTATTTAAATGTCTCTATGAAATAATGGATTAAACATAAGGCTATAAACGTAAATATAAGCCTTCTTTTCGTCGCTGGAAATAAGCAGTCTATGCCCGTCTGTGTTGCTCCCTTTGAGCCCAGTTAACCGTCGCTCTCTTCCACTTTTGGCCTTCAAATGGCGAAAGAGCCTCCCTAGATTGATTGGAAAGTGGTGCTCCCCGGGATGGGCGACGCACCGCCGCCGGAGGTCGAGGTGATCGCGGTAGCGCCTGGCCTGGGGGAGGCGGCGCAGGCCCAGGCCTCGGAGCTCGCTCAGATCTCCGATCATGAGTTGCAGGGGAAGATCCAGCGGGTGCTGAATCTTCTCTCGTCGGATATCGCGAGCCGGTTGGCCGACATGGGCGCCAAGTTGCGGGCCAGCCTCTGCCAGATGCAGACAGAACTTGATCGGAGGAAGCTTGTGTATGTCCCCAAGGTACGTTGATGATTCCCTTGATAGATATGTGTGTATCTTTGATGTCGTGGTTGAAAGATTTTGGGTGCGATCATTGGGAGAAGAGGAGATGAAGATCAGAACCAAGACTGCTGTGAGAGAAGACGGCGAGCGTGTCGTAGGTTTTTAGTTTTGGTAAAGCATTTTTGCCACAGAGGCAAAAAGATAGGGTTTTGGGAGTAGATTCATCAACAGACGAATAGTTCATTCCTACTACCCCCAGGAACAGACATAATATTCAACAAGATACATGAGAAAGAAAACATGGTTTTGACATCTTTTAAAGAAACCCGTACCCCAGTTAAAATGTAAAAAATATATAAACCCCAAATAAACTTTAAATCAAAGTTTGTCATACTGCTCGGTACGGGCGATACATATCAGTTCGATAAAGGACCAGTATAGATAGTACATTAGTATGCCCCAATGTATAATTTGTCGGTGTGTTCGGTATAGTTTGGTACAGCTTAGTATGTACCATATTGATAACTAATCGGTACACCAGTACAAATTGGTAAAACAAACTATGCTTCAAATATTGGTACATACCAATAAGTTCTCCACGGATGATAGGAGAGTATGTAGTTAATCAAGGTCGGTAAACTCGATTTGGTGGCAATTGATGATTGTCTTTCTCTTTTATCTGGTTTTTTGCCCTCTCTTCAGTCGTATTTACTCTTGTCTGTGCTGTTTAACTAATGGCTGAGTAAATTGGTAATCTAGAACACAAATCTAACCAGTCTTAAAATTTTTGTGGAGTTATTAAGAAAAATCCAATCATTTTTGGTTGTTTTGAAATTCCCCTTCCCAAGTTCTTGTTATTCCAAATAAAGGATTTTAATAAAATTGAATGTATATTATTAATTCCATAATTTTTTCGTTCCAAGTAAGATGAAGAGTGCATCATGTTGGAACAGATATAAAGAAAATAGGGAATATAATTTTTTGTTGCTTTTTTTTTTAATGACAAGAGAAAGTGATATGAGTCACAAAATACAGAAGAACATTGCCTAATGATTAGGCGATAGAGAGACAAATGAGAGAAGGACTTTTAAGCATGGTTTGTCTTATCGAACCGTACTGGTGTATCGATTAACTGTCGGTACGGTATGTACCGAGCTATACCAAGCCATACAGAGTGTACTGACATACGGTACATGGGGGCGTATTACTATACCGCCCCATACCGGTCCCCTATCGAACTGGTATGTACCGCCCATACCAAGTGGTATGCTATGTTACGGCAAACCTTGCTCTTAAGGAGGTCATAGCATAGGTGTGCTTTGCAGTAAATGCAGTACTGGAGCTTTGTAGTAAATGCAGATGGATACTAGAACAGCAATGCTGTACTATGATTTCCTTATTTTAAATTAGAAAGAGCACAAGTTAGCATCCATGTCAAATGTCACTTAAGATGACCATCGAGTTTGGTTATTATAGAACTGTACAACACTAAAATTTACTTATCTCATAATTGATGAAGTCAATGGTATTTTCTGTTTTTTTTCCAGGATGCTGGAGAATGCAATAGCATCACTCAGTCAAAAAACACAGAACCACAAGGTATAATTTGAGTCTTTTTCTGCATAATTTGGAAAACTCATTCTCAAGAGCAGAGGACTTGCACAATAATTTGGACAAGTTTTCTTTTCAGCTACTGTCATAAAGCATCATCATTTTGATGCCATTGTTACGCAATAAGTCATGATGTCAGTGAACTAATCAATTATTAAGATCCCTTGGATTTTTTGTTTCATCTAAATTTTTCTCAAGTCTTATGGATAATTTTCAGCTGCATGTTATTTTGTAACCTGTAATAATTAACATGCTACTCAATAATCCAGATATAGATATGTTTCTAGTTAAGCATTTCACATTTACATTTTTAGTTTTTCACATCATGAGAAGGAAAGGAAGCACTATTGACAAATGTATTTTTACTTCTTCCCCCTTCCTCTTTGAAGGTTGTATTATTCCATCTCATATATTGACTATCATGTAATAAAAGAAAAGGTTGTGAATAATTTAACTTTGAAGATCATTCTTTCAGAAACTTAGTTGGAACCTCACATCTTGTTCTTTATGTTGGACACTTTAATAACTTGGGATATGCTTTATGGTTTAGTGGAATGCATTAATACAATTCTTTTCTGAAGGTTGTTAGAGCTTGTTGCCTTGACCCTTGTTGGAGAATTCTAATTTGTTTTATTGATGAGCAGTGGTGCAACTTCTATGGGTTCAGTCAGGTTGAAGGTCCCTCCTAACCTGAACCGCTGTTCGAATTTTCCAAACATTTCAGGTTGTGCAAGCAGGCTGGGTCAATATAGGTCTTCACTATTCAAGTTTTGTATAGCAAAAACTCAAACTTAAACATATAAGTATAAAAATGGTACTAAATGAACTTTCCTGATATCTTGCATATACCTGGTATTGCCAAACCAATTTGGGTCCACTAAACTTGGTTATGTCAAGTTTATTACTGATGAACAACTAGGAGTAGTCATCCATACTGTTTTGATGGCCAACCATTTATGGAACTGGTTATTTACATATCTCATAATATTGATTTATTTTGCCAATGAAATGCAGACCCGAATGCTAATTTTTCTAGAAGAATATCAATTTCTGAACTTAAAGATGTCCAACATAACTAGATCACATGGTCCAAATGCTAACTTCATGTATAAGTGTTGTTTCTGTCACAGGAATAAATAAAACCAAAGAAAAGGGAGGGAAAAATGAACAAGGAAAAATGCTAGCTGACCTGTTGACTGCCTGAAACCTTTAATTCTTTAAATTCGATATGTTACCAATAAAGAAGTTCTTTTCTTTATTATTTGAACTTTGCTATAGTACTTACTAATTTATCACAATTTGGTTGTATTTAGAGTTGCTTACTGTTCACTCACTATCAGGTATGGTTGAAAATTACAATGCAAATTATACAACAAAAAAATCTCCTTCACATGCATTTTCTTCCCAGTTGATGGAGAAGTTAGAAGGCCAGGTGAATATCTGTCCTTGCTAAACTTCTAATGTTTGTCTAACTTCTCTAGCAAAGGCGTTTTCATATTATTTCATCAGGCAGATGCTGGATGCAATGAGGACTCGAAAGATATCAGTCAAGACAAGGAAGAAGTTTCTGGAAAAGATAAATTAAAAAAGCCTGTGAGAGGACATCAAATTGTAATTTCTTCACAGCCAACTAGGTTTTCTTCCAGGAAAACTCCTTTCAGATGTGTTAGCAGCTTTTTTAAGAAAGACCAAGAGAGGTCCTCAAATGGTGATTGTAAGGATTTTGAATCTTTTGGTCCTTCTCCTAATGAAGGGAAAACCAACTCTGCTGGCAAAAGGTAACATTTAAATTTCTGTTGGAATTTTGATATTTTATTTTAGATTTCTATGTTCCTTTAGTGATAGTTGCTCAGATCAAGGATTCAATTTGTTCTAGTATCAATAACAATTCTTGGGTAGAGACCCACAATTGGATGAACTATGTGTCAATACAACTCCTACTGATTGACATGGGTTTGGTCGGGGTAAGAGAAGAGGAGAATCAATAGAGATGGAAGAGGGGGGGAGGAGGCAAAGGAGGAGGAAGAGGCAAATGAAGAAGATGCAGAGGAGGAAGAGGCAACAACAATGACACAATGGGGACAACAAGGTGACTGTGATGCTGCAAGGAGGTGGAGGAACAGCGGAGAGAGAGAGAGAGAGAGAGAGAGAAGAAAAGAAATAGAGAAAGATAGTCGTGTGACAATTATCAGGGTATTGATATTGGGCAGTAGGTTGACCATTACCATTTGGCATTGGTCTGCTTACCATTTTGTAAGCCTGGTATGGGGAGTTTACCTGGTGGTGCAGTTGGACCGGTAAATACTGACTTGTACCGGTGGTATTTTAAACCGTGACTCAAATATTATTAATACTTTGATTGAGCTCAATTTTCTGCATCAAAGTTGATGTAGTGCTTTTGGCGTTATACTATGATAAATCTTAGAGGCTATCTTCAAATTCAATATTATTTTGTAAATTTAAGTTATGGTGGCTGTGCTCTGCAAGAACTTTTCACTTGGAGCTAGTGGACAATCAAATGTTTATTGATGCTTATTCTTTCACTTACTCAAGATGATGCTAATGTATATACTGATTTGATACTTGTCAATGTTTCTAAAAGAAATAAAACAATATGCATTTACTGATTCTTTAAGCAAACTACTGCTTTTGAGACAATGTCCTCAACCTACAAGAATCAAGGATGGAAAAACATATTCATCAACAAACTATATCCATTTTAGGTGTTATATGAATGAAGTTCTGACCTTCTTTTCCCAATGAATAGGCAACCAACACCTGTCTGAAAAATACTTCAAGAAATCTCTGGTTCTGTCTCTAATATCAAGTTTGCTAAGGCATTAGAAAAATTGGAAGAGGGTTGAAACATGGCTAAATTTTGGCATGCTTTCTTCGAGAGGATGTTTGATCTACCATATTGTAACATTGATCAGAGTCTTCAAGATTTTCTATCATGATGTTATTTATTTGTTCACCTTACCTTTGATGTCTTTGTTCTTCTCTTTGCTAACGACAACATTTATAGGTTTCCTTGGAATAGCTAAATCGTGCTTTTTCCCTTGAACCATCTTTCTAGCTTGTTATGCTTCTTGTCAACTCTTTAGTTCTTTTGATGATTGTTCCGTGCATTTGCCCCCATTTATCCTTTATGTTCCATTCCTGTGGCCACAAAAAGAGTTGATTGCTAAATTTTTAAACATGAAAAATACACCAATTTCCAAATATGTGAATCTAAAATGCATTTTGGTGGTTCCAATCCACCTGTGTTCGATGTACATCCAAATAATTGGTTTTCACACTGATGTTCCATGCTCTGTCTCACATTAATACATTAGATGAAGGCCTAAAAGTTAGATGTGAATTGATTCATGGTTATAGATTCTGATGAAGTTTTCCACTGGCTAGCTATCACCTTATGCAACTATCCTCTTTTTGGGCTTGGGGCCAGCAGTAAAACAATAACAATAAGCACACACAGGTCAAGTTATGTAGTAGTCCAAAATTAAATTTATTTTGGACTTATCATATCTAGGCCAAGTTCTCATAATACAACAGACCAATAACGGCCTAGTGTACTAAAAGAGAGAAAATATGAGTAGAAAATATCTTTTTATTTTGAAAACTTTATGTGAGCATAAAAAAGCACAAATGACCAATTCATACCTTTGGTGATCCACTCTGGTAAATCAAGTCTGATTGTAGTTCTGTAAAATTCTGATCCTAGACAAAAAGGAGGCTTTCATAAATTTTCGATCAAATTGCTGAATAGGCTAACTATTTATTTGAGTTGAAATATCTTAGAAACACCAAAGTTTATATCAGAGTGTTGTTCAAAGACTTTTGGTCATGTAGTTGTCTTATTAATTACGTTTAATTTAATTAACGGTTAGTTGTTGGTGGTACCCTCATGCACCAGGCTTTATGAGTTGACTGAATGACCATTTAAAATTCCTTTGTATAGTGTTGCTGATTCATTTGCCAATACTGCAGGGAACTGTGGACAGACCAGTATGTATTGTTCAGCATTTTAGCACCTGAACCTCATGCTTTGGCACTAGTCAATCGCATTGCCAATGGTGTGTCAATACATGAGTAGTAGTACACTGTCATGTGGCATGCCAGTGTGTTTTAGTATGCCTTGATAAAGGCAAATATTGCAATTTCTGCAGACCAATAATTCTACATATGTATGCACCTAAAACTGTTTACTATACAGTGAACATATATATATGCTAGGATGTATGGTTCTGAGGTGTAACAAATTTTATCTATGCCATAGATATCTGTGGTGCGATTCCATGCTGAAAACTGGCTTTGCAAAAACTAGGAAGAGCCTTTTCTTTCCTCTCTTAATATTGAAACAACGATTCACCTATTGTAGTTCCAACCTTTTGTCCTTCATTTCCTTAGCATGTTTAGGGAGCATCCATTTTTTGTCTAAATGACTCACAACAGATCCATTTAGGATTGTTTGATGTGCTTATAAATCAAAGTGTTATATCCTGTTTTCTCATAAATGTTATAGACCTTGTTATTAGTAAAAGTTGTGATGGGCTTTACTATTCGTGCATTGTTAGACAACAACTACCATGGTGAATTTTTGTGCAGACAAATATATCATTTCCAAGTAACAGAAAACTTAATCTGTTTTGTTGTTTGTTAAAACAGCTTGCGGTCCTAACAGTCTTAGTATAGCACATCCTTAGATGCATTGATTTCTGGAGAAATAATATTCACCTTTTTTATAATAATTTTTTTTCTTTTGTGTTTCATATCTTGCTTTAAGCATCTTTGCACTATGAAACTCAACATGTAATTGAAGATTGAAGATCTCTGTGAATAACATCCATGAAAACATTTGCATTCTCATTGAACTGATTATCTATAGGCTTATATGTTATAGGTGAAACTTTGCTAAATATTTCCACTCAGATCTACTAGGAATTTTGCTCTATATTAATTATACTATTACAAATGTCTTGGATATAGGTAGAGGGTGACATAGGTTCAATCTATTTTATTTTGTTCCTTTAGTCACTGTAATGCTTCAAATTTATCCGACGATGTGCTTAAATCTTGTATCGTATAAAGCATTGACCAACATCTCATATGCATTTTCTTTTGATGATAATTTGTTTCTTGTTTGCAATACTTTCCTAGGAGGAGAGCTTCTGACTTGGAGGGCAGGAATTCAGTAGCCTTGAAGTTTAAGAAGGTGCATTGTGCTTGTTTATATTTTCCAAAGTGTATAGTTATATATTATTAGCAACTTCACAATTATTTTGTTTGAGTCCTATTTATGCGGATTATCGAGTTTCAAAGTTTGACCATGAAAAGAGAAAAAGTAATTGATTTTATACCTAGATTCAAGTCTACTTAAACAGGACTGTAAACTTAAACCAAATCTATATATAATTCATTCAAAAAATGGACAGTAGTAGTGAAAAAATGTTTAAAAATCATCTTAATCTTAGAAACTAATCAACTATAGATGACTCAAGCTGGACCTTACTAAGGACTTTTCCGCAACTTATCCTGTGGTTATTTGCCATTGTTGCTATATGGTCTGTGGACTCTAATTTTAAAGGGCATGTATCTCTAAGACTCTAACATTGCTCTCTTTAATCTTTAGCTAGTTTCTGATGTGGTTTGTCAATACATGTAAATATTAAGTTAATTATTTTTTATATTTGTAAATAGGTTCGTGAAGTTGTTCTAGTGGATGAAGAAGAATTCCATTCTAGACAGTCAACAGGAGTTGCCTCTGACAAATGGTGACACACTTTTGAACTTCTGTCTTCTCTTTATTGACAAATATCTGTTTAACCAAGTATGTTTTGCTAATGAGCAGTATGTTTTTTTTCTAGGAAGGAGATGATGGTTTATTATCCTTCAAGGTGCATAATCTCTATGATTAGTTGAATATACAACTTATTTGCCTATTATTAGCTCCAAATTCTCACAATTTAATATCTGCCATTGTTCACTTTACAACAGAGATGACCCTGAATCTGTTGAGCTCTCTTATGAGGACATAAAATGTCTAGATCCTGAATCATACTTGTCATCTCCCATAATAAATTTTTACATTCAGTAAGTAACCATCTCATATTCTCAAAAGTTTTTCTTGGAATGTCAAATGTACTTGATTCTTTCTGTACATCACAAATATTTTTTCAAATATCTGTTATTTGACATGAATGGAAGTTCCACTCATTAAACCGATTGCATGGATGACCCTGGCCTAGCCTAAATCAGTATATTTTTGGAATTAAAACATCTTAAGATACAGTGCCACACATTTTATTCCCCTGCAATCAGAATTTCCAGCTTTAATGACAATAGACATTTTCTATTATGGAACCACTGTGAAGAGTACATCTGCTCTATGACGAGAAAGAGACACTTTGTTTAAATGATTGAAGTTTTAACCTGCTTCAGTAAATCAGTTTGCTTATCTTCATAGTTTGGATTTTTTTGGATTAGTTTTGATGTGTTTCCAGTCAGTGTAGTATCTTAATTTAAAATTGTGTGTTTGCCATGTTCTGCTCATTTTTCAGTTGATAACTATCTCTGTGTCACTTGCATTCTTTAACCTATGTTTGATATTGCATCTTAATAGCTTTTATGTTTTCTAATTTTTCACATTCTTGTCCTTGGGCCTTGGGGAAGCTTAGTAGGAAATAGGAATCATCTCTTTTCTGCAAGGTGTCTAACTCTCTTCAGCTATTTTTTAATTCAATTGATTCTCGTTGTTTTTTAATGGTTGGACGATCCCGTGGTATCGGTTTCACTTTGGTCTATGCTTAGGCATGGATTGCTCTTCTGAGGCGTATGACCATACCAGTTGCTCAAGTACGGTCCAGGGGTCTTGTATGATGCTAAAAGTGCACTAATACACCCTAGGCACTGTTGTTAGCTCATATAGATCGACATGGCCTTATTAGTACTTTGCCTTTCAGTATGTACTGGTCTTTCATAGAACCAGGATAGGAACATTACTTGGAATGACAATCCTTTTTCTTATGCTGTTTTCATGTTTGCTCTGCATTTGCTTGGAATATCGTTAATGCATAGAATTTTTTTTATTTTGTTATGATCCACATTTACATAGTATTCACATTACTGTTTGTATATGGTGACCACTGCTTTGTTGCTTTAGGTACCTGCGAAGGCTTCTCTCTCCAGTTGAGAGACCAAAAGGGGATTATCATTTTTTCAACACCTACTTCTACAACAAACTTGAAGATGCTGTTTCATACAGGGTATCACTTTTTTTAACATGTTGAGATGATGATCTCTGTACCCACATATTGCAAATTTGTCTGAAGTAATGGAAGCTTTTTCCATGATTTATATATTGCAAATATGTTTGAAGTAATGGAAGCTTTTTCCACGATTTATTTTTTTATCACCTCTGTAAGAATTTGAATAAAAATCTGTTGCTAAGGATATCTGGTGTTTATTCATGATGGATCTTGATGGCTTTTTGGCCTGATTTCTTTCATTCAGTAGGCTCTCTTAAGGATTGATGACAAGCTCTAAAGTTCTGCAGTATAACTTTCTTTGATTATTACTTGTTTGTCATTGTTAACATACCATCTTCCTTATCAGAAAAAAGGGTTCTCTTCAATAACATTTCTTGCTTCATGTTATGTTTGTATCTCTTCTTGCGATTGCTAATATTTGTCTTTTCTACCGTTAGATGTGATGAGAAGTTGTGGGTTTATGTGTCCTTATATACAATTTGTTTGCATGGAATGCTTCTTGATCTTTATTTAGTTGTCTGATCCCCATAATTAGATGTCCAATCTACTGTTTGTAGTCAGTGGCCTATATTGGAATTGTAAAATTAGGCCCATTTTGCATTGCTTTGTTCAGCATTGTACTGTAGGACTTAAGATGACTGTGATGCATATTCTCAATGATTAATTCAAATTATAAAGTCAACTGTGTTTGATATTATGGAGTGGCCGAACCTTAAACCACCCCATGTGGACCTGACCTTGCGTGTACTTAAGACAACAAAATTTTGGTTATAATTTTTATTTTTGACTGATCTTTGTCCAGTTTTTGTTCATTATTTTTTATCCTGATTATTTTATGATGTTTTAGAGCCTTATTTTATTTTTTAGTCCTTTTGATGCTAAAAAGTCATATTATGTATATAGATAGGTTAAATAAGTCCTTAAGCCTTTAGAAATTTTCTGGAAACTTCTAGAAGTGTCTTTAAATAGTATTTTTCAAAGTTATGAGATTTCCTGAAGGAAAAAAAATTGATCAGAGAGCAAGGCCTGAAGTTCATTCAATGTAATTCTTAGTATTAACTCTTGGGGGAACTCTTCTTGAATTGGAGACACCATGGTAGAAGGGTCAAACATTATCTGTTGAAATATGCTAATTGTCATGTTGTCATGGTGACCTGCCGAAATAGCACTGAATTGGCACGAAACCTTACCATCACTGTGTGTGTATCAGAAAGCTAAAGGCTTTGACTCCGTTAGCACTTGGATATTTCTGAAATATTTTTTATGGCAACCACTTGTAACACAGTATCTGACTTATTATTTTAGCCTGTGTTTTTAATAGTTTTATAGAGTGGGTTTAATTGCCCGCAATGAAGTTTAGCTTTATAGCATAAGGATTACTTCATAGCATAAGGTTTACCTAGTTTGCCTCCTTTTTCTGTTTCACTCTATATCATAACTGACTTAATCTTTTACTTAGTAGGCTGACAAGGCATGTTTTGAGAAATTGAGGAGATGGTGGAAAGGTGTAAACATATTTCAAAAATCTTATATATTCATACCCGTCCATGGAGAGTTAAGTATTTTTTTTCCCTCTTCTCGAGAATGAAGACTTTAAATTTTATATTCTATTTTTATGTGTTTGACATAATGATAATATGCATAAGAATTATATATTGACTAAAGAATTTAAGGAGAATCCTGCAGAGTTTTAGAAGACTCGCCAATTTGTTGAAATGATTGGTTTTCTATTCTGTATCACTTTATTCTGAGTGCCTGTCTAACCATTTGATGAATCTTTCTGTGGCAAATTTCTCTGACAAAATTCCAAAGACTAACATAAGTCTTCTACATTCATGGACATTTGTTTTAAGAATATCTGATAGTGATAAAACATGTCCATCTGCCAGTGTAAATTATCAAAGCAGGGTCATTTTAATTTGTTATGCTGATTGCTGAGTTACAATAGGGGATGAGTTATACACTTTTCAAAGAGTGCATGCTATGTTTTGATAAAGAATATTGTCATCTTTCCCGTGGATCTATAAGCATCACCTGTCTTATCTTTTGGATTAATGACAGTAGTAGTCCATGTCAAACATATACTTAGTTTCTTGGTGTTAATATGTATGAAAACTGTTAGCATTATGTCTCATCTTCTATTAGCTGGATATCATGTCACATCTAGCTGGCCCTCATGAATTGACTATAAGGTCTATTTGGTTCATCACCTTCTGTCTTAACATTCTTCCACCCGAAAAAAGAACCACCTGTAGAAAAGTGAAAATAAGAAAGAAATGGTGTGTAGTTGGTGCAAGTTATATGAAGAATTTACAAAACTTCACCTTTTGCAGGTGGCCTTCCATGTTTCCCTTTGTTTGCTTGACTGCTTTGATCTCAGAAATTGCTAGTTCCATTAAGCTAACCCCCATAAATGGATCTAGAATGGGCTTGTGGTGCATCAATGAAGTATGGCGCAAGCATACTGCTATTCATCCTGTCATAGGAACCCCATTTGAGCTCCTACAGTCACTGATTTTTCTTAGTTTATTAAGTAGCTAATTACTAAGGTGAACAATTCCTCTGAAGGAAATGTGGAGCCACAAGGGTTGAAGGTGGTTTTAGGGCGATGATTCTTTATTAACTAACTCCTTTTTCTTATCAGAACAAGTGAAATAGATATTCTGTTCAAATTTGAGTAGGCTGATCAGAGCTAGCTTTCTTGCATATTTTCTATTTATTAGCTTGACTACTACTGTCTTCTTCCTACTGATCTATAAATTCTCTTCAGCTGTGTTGTGTATTTAGAATATGCAATGAATGGTATCGTTGGCCATGACCTACACCCTAGTGTATTATTGAATTATGCATTGTGAAGGAAACTAATTCTTATTGTACTCAAAACACAAGGTATGGCTGGACTGGTACAGCCTGATCTATTCTGGCTTGTCATGTGAGGGTATACCGGAATATACCACATTACAGTTGGGGAAGGGAGAAGAGGGGAGGAAGAAGGAAGGGGAAAAAGAATAGGAGGAGGAAGAAGAGGAAGAGGAAGTAGGATGAGGAAGGAAGTGGTGGAGAAGATGGAGAAGCAAAAAGAGGAGTACCAGATAAAGGAGGAAGAAGGAGAGGAACAGCGCATGAGGGAGGAAGTAGTGCAAAAGAAGAGAAGGAAGAGGAAGGAGTAAGAGAAAGAAAGAGGAAGGAGGAGAAAGGGGAGACAAGTATACCTGTAGGCAGCTATGCACGGCGGAGGTGTGTAGCGAGGTTGTGGCTTAGGCGTAGGCAGCTGTGCACAGTGGAGGTGTGCGACGAGGTAGGGGCGGAGGCATAGGCAGCTGTGTGTAACAGAGGTGTGCGGCATTGTGCGTGGCATGCACGAGACGATTAGGGTTAACACAGACAATGTTTTCCTTTTGATGTGGGTGGACCGGACAGCAGACTGAGAGCGGTCTGCATACTGCTTCATGCCTGTACCGGTATGTACTGCCTGGTACCGGGCGAAACATCAATCCTTGTATCTTACAATAAATGCTTGAGGACATCTAGATTTGTAAAATTCTTTTGTTTTTCTTTCTTTCTGCCAATTGAATAGTACTTGTTTATTTCAATTTTTTATTTAACTGGTAGTTTCATTGCTTGGACATTAATGGAATTTCAAAGATATGCAAATGATATTTTACGAAATTCTGTCATCTTCTTCCTGACATAATTTTTTGCTTTTCGTAATCAGTATGCATTGGAGCTTGGTGATTATTTGTATACCTGCAAAAGAAGATGAATGTGGTCCAATTGTACTTCACTTGGACTCATTGGGAATTCATGATAGTTCTTCAATATTTGATGTCATCGAAAGGTAAGTTGTGCACGAGATTTTTAAAGAAAATGTACCTAGTGCACTGTATGTGTTCATGACAATGTTTCTGGAGTTGTTCATGACTCATTAACTGGGTAAATTTTGGACAAACAAACACTTTAATGCAGTTTTTGGAAAATTTAGTTAAAGTATAATCAAATTTAGACCAATTTTGACTTTCATCAAACATTCAGTCTTTAAGAAATTTTCTCATTTTCAGGTGGAGGGAAAAATAAGCCATAGTTGCAACAGGATTTTATAATAATCAAATCAAATTCTTTAATTAAATATTAGACCTGTTTCATGATGCAAGTTCTTTGTTGCATATCGTGATATAAATATATCAGTCCATGTCATCGAATAGAAGTATTTCACAATGATGTTAGCATGCTTAATTTGTTACATGGAAACATTGGAAACCAAATTCCTTGCTCTGTCCATGTGCCTTTTGCATTGTATGTCTTCTAATCGTAGTTTTCTCCATTTCTAAATGACACAAAAGCTAACTTACCTCTGATATTATAATGATTCTTTTTATAGCTACTCAACAAATCTAATATGCAGTTGCTAATTGCAGATTTTTGAAAGTGGAGTGGAATTACATAAATCAAATTTCTCCTCGTCCAGACCTTCCTATTTCAGAAAGGATATGGAGACATCTTTCACGTAGAATTGAAAAGAAAAAGATTAAGGTAAACCGTTTCTCAGTGAGCTAGAAGAAATAATTTAAGCATTTAAGCATCTGTCAACACATAATTTGTCGTGACAAGAACCTTGCATTTTGTTACCATCATGCTGGTCTGTGGTGTTTATCTTTCATTTTCAAACATGAAAATGTTTGTAATATCTTTCTAGATTGATGTTGTGCATGTGATTCTTGTTGCTTCCAGTTTGGTGTTTGGATAAGTTGACTGTAATAAAAAATGTTCAGAAGAATCTCTCTCTATTAGTAGCTCATTGAGGAACATGTAGCAAAATTTTTTTGTCCTAACTTCTGAAAGCATCTGTTATCTGGTGGCATGTTACAAGGAAAATTAGGTGAACCTATGCTCTGGCTAGTGTTTTATATTTTTGACTGAGAATTATATTAATCTTTGGAATGCAGAAACTTGGATATTGTGTTATAGATGAAGATTACTAATTAGAAGTTAATAAAGGGAAATCATAAACTTGTTTTCAGAATGGGAAACCTTTAATAGTTTTTTTATATCTTTCTTTTGTTATATAGCAGAGCTGAAGATGATACTTCTTAAGAAGATTTAGTTATTATTTTGAGCATTGTATCTCGAACTATTGTGTATTAGTCAAGGTCTTTCAAAGTATCAGCTTCTTGAGAGCTGGAATTTGAAGTGTGTTCATGTTTGAATGTTGGCATTAAGAATCCTTTGGAGCTCCTTATAAGCTTTTATTAATTCAATGTGAACTTATAATGGTAATTATTTATATATGTCAACTAATCCCAGATTCTTCAATTACAACTTTGATAAAATAATTCCAAGCGAATGTGTAGAGAGTAAAAAAAAATCATTGCTATTTTAATTTTATGCTTGTCACCGTCAGTACCAATTACCATGTAGAATGAGCTCTAGTTTCATATCTGCTTACTATTATCAGGTACCTCAACAGAAGAATGAGTATGACTGTGGCCTTTTCGTGCTGTACTTCATGGAGAGGTTTATCGAAGAGGCACCTGAAAGGCTTAGAAAGAAAGATCTAGCTATGGTAGGCAACACATCCCAAAGTGCGCTATAGATATTGCTATATTGCTATATGCTGTTTTTAATTTCTTTTTTTTTATTATTTTCTGTCCTTGGCTTAAATAGTTTGATAGAAAGTGGTTCAGACCTGAAGATGCGTCTGGCCTGAGGAAGCGGATACGAGATCTTCTCCTTGAAGTATTTCGCAGTGGTAAGATCGAGGATGAACAAACAGAATCAACATCCTCTTCTAGCTTCTCCGAAGATGATTGACAGCAATGTTTTGAACCTTGCAACCTGTTTGGACACCTGAAGTGAACCTGAGAACTCCATGAGTTAGAAACAGCAAAGTAGAGGAGGCATATGAAGTGAAGAGGGGAAAAAAGATGTCATGCCGTCACCAATTCATGTTTTCGGGAATACCTAAAAAGCCATTACTTGGTAAATTTTTGGTTGTGCATTAAATATTAGCACTCTCAGTTCATCTGCCGATCCCCACCACAGTAAAACTGTTCAGCAGCAAGCAGGAAAGCATGCCTTGGAAGAACAGTGGGCCATGTTACTTGTTTAGCTCCTCCCAAGAGAAATATGTCATTTACATACAGTTTAGCTAATTTGTCCACGGAGAGAAGAAATATTGCGGCTAACAAAAGTGACTTGAAGCTTGCTAGAACATGCATAGGAAGAAAACAAATTATGTGAATATTTTACTGTAAATTCAGAAGATATTTTTATATCTGCATGAAAACATGCTTGGACAGAGGTGAGATGTATTGAAGCAGGTTGGATTTCATGTAGGGTAAACTGCCTTATATCTCCATGGAAATGTGCTTTGACAGAGGTGAGATGGATTTCATGTAGGGTAACTGCCTTACTTGATCTTTATTTCCTTCTTTATGTAAGATGGTCTAAAGTTTTAATTGCGTTCTACGGTTTGTTTTAATCAGCCTGATCAAAGTGCCAATTTCAAAACACGTAGCTCCATAAAGCTAGATATGGTATTTTTGTTTATTTTTTAATAAGTTTTTATTCATGATGTTGTATGATAGCAATCAGTATAAAACCTTAGGGTTCTCTTCCAGCTCAAACGGATCTTTGTCATAGGACATCTTTCATAGAAATAGCAAAGCCTGAGGCAAAGCTTTGGTCACCCCCATTCTCTTTACATTGTTCTGAGATAAAAGAGTATTATAAAACTGGCACAGCATGATGCTGGAAAAAACACAGATTAGCGGATAATAAAATGATTACCGTCAAAATTAATGTGCCATGTTAAGGCCAAAACGAAGAGCAGAGATATATATGGCCGATGCAACCTTGCATTGGCAGCCGAGGCTCTTTCATTATTAGTAAGGGGGCTTATTAGGATGCACATGCGATTATGCAACAGTAACATGCAATCTTGGAGCACACTAATCAGATCAAATGGAAGAGGAAAGGGTCACATTACTTGAGAAAATTCATCCTGACATGTATAATATTGTACTCCAGATTCTAAAGAGGAAAAAAAGGAGGTATATTTAACATCAGTATAGATGACAGAAAAATAGGTGTATCCATTCTGTCCTAAACGGAGATCAATCCTTGGATGTACTACTGCTTCCAGGACCCTTTTTCCCACCGTATCTCTGTATGAGAGACAAATAAGTTTAAATGGAAATATAATCAGGTAATAAAACGAATGAAGAATCAAATTCATCTGACATTTTGGCTAACGTAAATAGAATGAATTTAATATAATGTTTATCCAAGCTGTCTGTAGTCCCAAGTATACAAAAGATCCGCTAGGCTGCATTCGCATTCTAACTACTATATTATCCAAGCTTTTGATATGCATATCGCAAAAACAATTAATAAGAACAGTGAAGAAATCGTGCTGTATACTAATATGACACAGGAGTTCGTTGCTGAGTTCGATATGGCATATTGCAAAAACAAATAATAAGAACAGCGAAGAAATTGTGTTGTGTCAGAGGATGGTATGCTAAATCACTCACCTGCTTCCCTGTGTTGAATGGAACATACTTGTACTTTATCATATGTACGATTTGTCGCTTCATGGTTAGGACAAAAAGGACGATCCAATAACACAGAAGAATGGGCCAAAAGACAGGGACATCAAATACAGATAAGAAAGTCATCACAAAAGCCACACACAAAGCTTTTGTTATGGAGTACCTGCAAAAAGGAAGGAAAATTCAATTAAGTTCAAATTGCCCTACTAGATATAACAAAAACTTTTTAGCAACAGAATATTTAGGACCAAATAGGAAGGTCAACCTCCAAAGTAGTCGCACGGATCAAAATACGAGGAGAAACATGTATATAAATTCCGCAAATAACAATCTTTATTTTTTCTCCACAGCTTCCCATCTGCACATGCATGTTTGTATAATTGTATTCTTAGCGTGGAAGATGGAAATCATATGGCCAGAAATACTGTCTGGTAAAATACAAAATTTAGAAACCATATGTGTTTGTTTTAAGTTAGGATCCACACTTCATGTGTTTTAAGTTAAGTGTGAACGTGCTCAGGCTTAGTCCATTAAATCTGAACCAAATGGCTCATAAAAGATACTTCTTTGTTGCAACTGGAACTTAGTCACTGAGACAATTAGCATGGATTTCTGATAAAAATAATTGGATTTAGTTCCATATTACAGTCAGGAAGTCTAAGCTAATAAATATGTTATGGCCATGATAATGGTAACCTGCTTTCTTTGAAAGATATAACAAAGTCAATTCCAGACCAAGCTTAACTTATAAGAATGCAGTTGCCATCATCTGCCACTGAAAACAGTGATAAAAGGACCTAAAAAGAGGACAAACAGGGGAAACACATTTTAAAAATAAAAGAAATTGAGATTACCGGTTGCTAGTGTCAAATCTACCATTCCTTCCACTCTGTTAAAGCCTCCTCTACTTTCCATGCTTCCGTATGATAAGAATAAGTACTAAAAGCTTCTATTGGATTTGGGTTTGTGAGAAATGAAGATTAGTAAAGAAGTAATAATTCGAGTACTGGCTTACTGGAGATCCCTATCCTCGAAAAGAGAGCCACCCGGAACTCAGCATGGTTACCAATGCCAAGGACTGTCACAGTAACATCAATGCAACCTGTTATCTAAAAAACACTGCTCAACCATAAAATCTAGTTGACAGACTCATCGTCATAATATACACATTGATAACCAACTTTTTATGGCCTGCAAGATTAAGATTTCGAACATTTCACTTGTTGCTTTAAGTATAAGATAAGCAACCTGCCAAACAATATATTCTGGCATAGCCATGCGAACATGACCCAGAAAACATGATAATAAGTAGTTTACCATAGACCATTTAACCAATATGTAGTGGCCCATCCCTCCTTCCTATGCGGAGTATTAGAATGTCCATTGCCTAAATCATTGATATTCTAGAGGGAACACTTGATACAACAAAAATCATCCTTTAACTTGAACAGGGACTATACCAGGATGACACCCCATCTCAGCATGCATATGAAAGCCCTTATCTATACACATGCGGACCCCCATAGAGTAGGTTGAAAGTGTCCTCTAACAGCATTTGTATTGACTTGAGCAACCAAATAGGCTAAATGAATTGTACTGAGTGGGTTGCCAATGTGCTTAAAATGCTTTATTCAAATCCATCATAGACTAGTCATATTTCTCCTTCCCGATACCAAACTATTGGGATTGTCAATCGTGCCCCACATCCTTGCATCTTGCCAATCTGATGGTAACCAAAACGAAAGCCATGATGCATCCTTCTTATCGTAGCAACCATTCCAGTGGAGATTTTAAATGGCTTTGTAATTCATGGCTAACAAAGTTTAAGGAGCCACTGAATTGAAGCTTGAAAGAAATGACAAGAGTATTGATTCTTATTTGGTCCACATGAATACTTTGAAAAGTTATATATGAGGTCAGTTTGAAGATTGGGCATTAGGCCCAAATTGACATTGGGTTATGAGGCCCAAAATAGTTCAAGATTTTGTAACCACCTCATTGATTTGATTAGTTACTTACTGCATCTATCTATTGTTACAAATTATGAGGTCAGTTGGCCAGCATGACAATTAAACTTTAAACTCCAGTGAAAGCCTTAAAGTCACTACAGTGAGTTGAGTTGCATTGAAATGATGACCAGAAAATTTCCAGGAATTCAGAACATACAAGGGGAGAAGAAGGAAAAGCAATAAAACATCATCAGAGCAATCAGCGTAATAAAGAAAAAGTTCTTAGCACCATTCCCGATACTTGAACCATAAAACATAATCTTGAACAAAGTTTTTGGATTGTGCAATAGGAGACTTGATTTTCATTTAGATTAGGAGTAGAAAGGATAAATAATGCCATACAAAAGGAAAATGCACGATATCAAGAAGTACATTAAACGGTCACAAGATGGATCAATTTGAAGGCAACAAAGAGCTAATTGATAGTCACAATGGCTAGACATATCAAACTGCCTTTTTCTTTTAACATAACAACTTATACCTTGCAGTAGCAGGACAAACCATAAGAAAAGATGCACCTCAATGTAACAACACTTTGAGCACCAGGACAAAAAATAAAGGGCTCTCAAGAGAATAATAGTATCTAATTTTCAGATTGCAATAGGCAACACAACATCTTCTTCAACAAGCCTTTGGACCCTGATTGATACTAGAGCTAAACTAAAATGACTACACAGCTCCGGTTGTCTAAGTTAACCAATAGTCATAGATAGAGAAGAAGACTGAAGACAGGCTTTGTTGATGGACATACATGATTGCAAACAAACATTAAATCACAGAAAAATTTCAGAAAATAGAAAATGATGACAAAAGAGATTATAAGCCGATTACCATAGGATTAGATGAAGAGACAATGAATATGAGGAAAATACCCTATAAGACACAAATGTACTCAAGAATTTGAGATCGAGAAAGGTATGTCGAGTTACCAGAACTTGAACTCAGGAAGACGGCGAATGAAGGGTTTGAACTCATCAGATCCCCGCGTCGGCAGCGAAAGCCCATCCGACGCCTCCAGTTCCGGATCCACCATCGGCGAGAGGAACCCAATCAAGAGATTCAGCAGATAGATCCCGAGCCCGTAGGTCACAATGTAGAAGCCCTGGACGAAGTAGACGCGCAGAGAGTAGATGAGCGCCACCGCCGTGGTCCCGAGCCATCGGCCGACGGTGTGGGGAGTAGATCTATCCAAGTAGTGCTGGAAAACCCTAGAAAAATCGCTTCTCCATTTCGCCAGCGGCACCGACGCCGCTGCTCCTTCGTCGCCAAAACTTCCATCCATAGATTAGATGAACTGTTAACCCAAAAGAAAAAGTAAAAGAAGATAACACAATCTTCCTTCAAGAACTCCATCCAGAGTTCAGATCTAAAACGAAAAAGATCCGAATGAATGGTCAGATATGGATCCGGATGGGAATGGGAACTCGCCTACAAATACCGTAGGGATCCCCCGCGATTCAGTGCCAAATGAGGCAGCGTGATGTGAGATCCTTGGACAACGGAATGGAAGGCAACCGACGAGGGGGGGAGAAGAGGATCCACCGGCGAGATTGGAGGCGGAAGGAAGGCGTCGCCGGAATGGGAATCGTGGGATAGAGTGAACGGCCGCTGGCTTTGGCGTTGTGTGTGTTTACGTGTGAGGGTCTAAAAATAAAAGTAATTAAAATAATTATAAAAAGGGTACATTTTCGAATAAACAAATCCGTAAGTTTTAAATTTTTTTACCTTATTTTAAAAAAAATCTCAAACAGTACCCCAAACCATTTGAAATAATTATTTTATCCTTATCTTTTTACATAAAATAAAAGGTAAAAAAATAATTTTAACATTTGATGACGGACTCGGTGGTGGCGGACAGCGCTAGTGTCGACGTCGACACAGTTGCTAGGTAATTTTGACGTTCGATGACGGACTCGGTGGTGGAGGATGGTGCTAGTGTCGACGTCGATGTAATTGTCTTACCCTTTCAATGACAATAAAGTTCGCTCTAATTAGGACACCACCCACCTCCACGAGGAGCGTGTTGCCCACGCTAGTATCGTTGTCTCTTTGGCCCCCAAGAGAAACGAAAGGCAAGTCCTTGAGACATACTATCAGCCAAACGCTTATGTGTTCTTCTAGGCTCCGCTTATGTATCGGCATGACCCACATCGTCTCTACCCTATGCCATGATCCCCCTAGTTACAATCGGCACAAGGATGACGACAAGAAGGAGACCCGGCAAAGGCGATGAATGAGACACTCTCGGAAGGTGGCTCCTCAGTCTTATCTATCATAAGTGCAGCATTGCCGCTTTAGTCGCTCTACATCTATGTTGGCACTGCATCTATGTTGGCACCAATGCAGATGCAAAGAGGTGAAAAGGTCAATGCTGCGTTTCAAGTAGATAAGATTGAGGAGCAACCATCCAAGAGTGTCCCAATCATTATCGTTGTTGAGTCTTCTTTTTGTCGTCATCCTCATGCCGGTTACCGCTAGGGGGATGAGGGTGTTAGGCAAAGACGAGGTGGGCTATATTGGTGCATAAGCGGAGCCCAGAACGAGACGTAAGTGTTGAGTCAACAACATATCTCGAGGACTTAGACCTTTCATTCTTTCTGGGAGCATAGAGGCGACGATGCTGACGTGGGTGGTGTCACGGTGAGAGCAGACCTTATCATCATCCAAGGTGACTAGGCAATTATATTGACATCGAGGCCAATAATGCCATCGTCCACCACCACCGACACAAGTGGTGTTGTCGTTCGTCATCACCTAGTCCACTACTAAACGTTAAAATTATCGTTTTATCTTTTATTTTTATATTTTTTATCGGTAAAACTAATATCATTAGAGTAAATGAACATATATGTTTCACTTTCATAACTATAAGGATACCATATAATTTTTTAAAATATAAAGATCGAAATATTAAAGGCAGCTAACTATAGAAGGCAATCTATAATTAACCCCAAAAATCATAACCGCTTGCTTTAAGAAAATATTCTTTGACTCAACAAATATTTTAAATATTTTTTTATTATGACTCATATTAACATATCATATTAGAGTGATACCTATGTGAGCTAAAAAAATCTATAATTAGAATATATGGTGTAGAAAGAACAGAAAAAAAAATTTCATCACTCTAGAACAGATCCCCTTTATAGTCGAGCATCTAACTGCTTATGTTAAGAAAATCTGAACAAATATTTTAATTTTTTTTATTATGATTCATAATATATATATATATGTTTTTGGATAAAACATATGTTGTGCTTGAGAATAAGATAGAGAGACAATACAAAGAGATGGAGTTCTTTGTAGCTGCAGCTACCAACTCTGTTGTCATTGAATGATGCAAAGAGGAGGAGGATCACCAAAGAGAAATTACAAGTGCAGCCTAATCTTTCTTCCTTAGTGCTTGACTTGTATTCTGGGAGAGGGGGACAGAATTATCACCATAAGGGCTTCAAAATCTTTCCCCCTCAATCTTATTTAACATTAGATTTTGTTTTGTTTTTTTAAGGAAAAAAATATAATATGATGTTTGAAACTCTCAATCTGAGTCAACCCTAATATAATATGTCATCATCAATTTTCAAACCCTTAATTTCAAGTAAATGAGAATGGGTACAGTGGTATAGTATCATCATAATCTTAAAAAATTATAAGATGAATTTTTTGAACCTCATGCATTATTATTATTATATTCATATTTTAGATGTAATGTTTATAGGATGAGGATTTGAACCATTAACATAAGATAAGTGAATAGTATATATATATATATGAAACAGGAGCAAGTATGTCTTAATTTCCAATGGCTAATAAATAATGTGTTAAATGACTCACCGAAGCTATTTAAAGATACTATCAAACGTTGAGGCGTGCATTCCGGCCATCCTCGTCTTCCCCCTCGGCACTCGGACATGCACAAAGTCAAACATAGACTAAGTCAACGGCTAAAAGAAAGGGGAATAAAAAGTCAAAGGAAGTGCAAGTCTTCCTCTCTCCCGCTCGTTCTCGTCGTGCATCGCTCGCCACCCAACCCGCCACCTCGGCAGCGATCCCAGCGTCATTTAAACTCCCCCATCTCTCCCTCTCCCTGTCATCGACATACGGGTCATTGGAGGTAATCAAGCTGCTTCTCCTGTTTCCTTGTCCTGTCCTCTCCTCTCCTGTTGGTGCATTGCTTTTCTGGTTCTCACTTGGATGCAGTGGCAAAGATCTAATCGTTGTGTTTTTGGATGGAAGTCAATTAGGGCTTTGAGTTCCTACTTTTGCTATTTAGATTCTTCTTCTTCTTCTTCTTCTTCTTATGACTTGTGGTTGCTAATGCTCGACACTTGACCAGTTTTCTGTCAATTACCAGGTCCAGACAAAAAGGTCAACATGGCTGAAGTCATGTCCGGACCTCTGGACCATCTACAAAAACATGGTATGTCAAGATGAGATCTTTTTGCTTCTCTTCCATTTGTATGTTCGATTCCATTTTGTTCATGATTGTCAGCGAGGCATATAAAGCAACACTTCCTCTGACATGTAGAATTTGTCATGCACTCAACCCACAGAAATCTATAGCCAAGATTTCTTTTAATGATCTCAATTATGTAACATAGATGTCGAGAACTCCGAGGATGAGAGGAGAAATAAGATCGAGTCTCTGACGAAGAAGGCAATGAATGCCTCCACAAAGTACAGGAATTCTTTGAACAGAAGAGGAAGAAGGAGCAGCAAAGTCATGTCTGTCTCCATCGAGGACGTGCGTGATGCCGAGGAGATGCAGGCTGTTGATGCCTTCCGTCAGATTCTTATTCTGGAGGAGATGCTACCTTCTAGGCATGATGATTACCATACAATGCTCAGGTTTTCCTCTTCACTTGGACACATTACTCTTGACTTCACAGCTCAAATCCATGGAGCAATGGATACTCAGTGTGGCGTCTCTGTGGTGCAGATTTCTCAAGGCCAGGAAATTTGACATTGAGAAGACAAAGCAAATGTGGACTGATATGCTCCAATGGAGGAAGGAATTTGGAGCTGACACAATTTTGGATGTAACTCCTCCTTTTATTGACTGTTCTACCGGCTTCAACTCATAAGATTGTAGCTCTGATACGTGCTCCTCCTACTAGGATTTTGAATTCAAGGAACTCGGGGAAGTCTTGGAATACTACCCGCAAGGCCACCATGGAGTCGATAAGGAAGGCCGGCCTGTGTACATCGAGAGATTAGGCCTAGTTGATGCCAACAAGATGATGCAGGTCACAAACATGGATCGCTACGTCAAATACCATGTGAAGGAGTTTGAGAGGACCTTCGTCGTCAAGTTTCCTGCCTGTTCGATTGCAGCAAAACGGCACATCGACCAGAGCACGACCATCATTGATGTGCAAGGAGTGGTATGCATCAGATGCCTTGTTTTCCCTTCTCAGATCCTATCCTCCTCCGGTGATGTTCACGAATCAGAATGTGTATGGAATGGCTTTTGATGACAGGGAATGAAACAATTCAACAAAACTGCAAGGGAGCTAATTAGCAGGATTCAAAAGATTGATGGTGACAATTATCCTGAGGTATATATGCAACACATTTACTTACTGTACTGATGGCATTTCAAGTGATCATGAGGTGTGATTCTTTCCCCAACTGCAGACTTTGTGCCGCATGTTCATCGTCAATGCAGGACAGGGATTCAGACTGCTTTGGAACACTGTCAAGTCCTTCCTTGACCCAAAGACCACCGCGAAAATCCATGTAAGCTGTTGATAGATACCATGGATTGCATTCAGTACAAGAAATTAGATATCTGATGAGAACTCCCCTCAGGTTCTTGGAAACAAGTACCAGAGCAAGCTGCTTGAAGTGATTGATGCCAGGTATCTTCCAATAGATGATGAACAAATCTTACTGCAAGCTTTTGAGAAATAGTTGTGTTTGATCATAAGTCTTTTGGGATTTACAAGTGAGTTGCCGGAGTTCCTTGGTGGCACCTGCAACTGTGAAGGAGGTTGTCTTCGATCAGACAAGGGCCCATGGAAGGACCCTGAGATCTTAAAGGTGAGGTTTTCTTCTCCTCCGTTTTTGCACTAATTGTATGCTCAAAACAATTGCATTAACATTTTAAGCACGATTTCGATGAATTCACGGCATACACAGATGGTTCAGAGTGGTATGGGACAATGTGGAAGGCAACAAATGACTCCTGCAGTTGAGGAGAAGACCATTTCTGAGGATGACATTGTGTATTCAAAGGTGATAATTAATCACCATTTCTTCCTGTGTTAATGTTCATTGGAGCTTCATGTTTCTGATCACTGACAAAAAAATTTCCCCAACATGAAGAGGCACGAGTCTTTCCGAGGGCCATCTGCCTTTGCTGCTGATGAAATGTCCTCTGCTTCTCCCAAGATGTCAAGGAGTCAGATTGAGCACCCACAATTGTCACCTCTTCATGAAGAAGTCAGCAATACAGAAGCTGAGGTAATCTTTAGTTGTTGATTAGCACCACAAAAACTAAATTAATCTTCATCAAATGAATCAACTTGGAACAGAAGTAATATTTTCCCTTTGTGGATTGAGCCAGAGATACTGACTGGAACTTCTTCCTGATACATCTGTTAAGCAAAAGTAGAACTCCATGATATTACTGAACTCATCAAGAATTCAGTATCTGAAATTTCAGGAACACAAAAGGATTCAAAGTTCCAAGTGAATCAGACTTGCAGTTGCTATTGATCTTATCATTTCTAACACTAATACCTTTCCAGAAGAATTTGGACGTCGAGGCTGCACTCAAGGAATTCCCAACCTACTCATATAATGATCTGATTCCAATTGTGGACAAGGCTATGGATGCAACCTGGAAGAAGCAAATGCTTAGTCAAAAGTTTGCCATGTCCAAAGGTCCATATCATCATCATCCTTAGCCGATTACACATTGGAACTGTTGAGATTTCCACTGATGAGTTTCCAATGATCCACCTTTCACTGCAGGTGCCTACAATCTATCTGAAATCTACAGAGGACCAGATGGAGTCAGCAACCATGTGTTGGCTGGAGTTATGGCCTTTGTCATGGGACTTGTCACCATGATCCGCGTAGGAGGCAACACCGTGCCAAAGAAGATGTCTAATGCAGATATCGACTACGCGAGGTCTCTTGAGTTGGCCGGCACGATGCTTAAAGGCCAAATGCAACAGAGCGAGCAGTCTGCACCGGCCGTCTCAGCTGCTGAGTTCTCTGGTGTCGTGAAGCGCCTCAGTGAGCTTGAAGAGAAGGTGGCTGAACTCAGTGCGAAGCCTGTAGAGTTGCCGGCTGAGAAGGAAGAGATACTGCATGCCGCTGTGAAGCGTGTGGATGCTTTGGAGGAGGAGCTTGCAGCAACAAAGAAGGTAAGAGAGCCTGAAAAGTATCAAGCATACAAATAACAAGTACTAAATCTATTTGAAGAACCTAAGCACTGCAATCTTTCCCATCTACTAATCCTTGTGTGATAAGAGAATAGGACAAAAGAGGCTCCTTTTGTGATGAAAAATGTCCCAAAAATATAGAAAGAACAATACAACTATCTGAGGCTTCTACTTTTCTGATGTTTTGCAGGCTCTGGAGGAATCTCTAGCAAGGCAGGAAGAATTTGTAGCTTATCTTGAGAAGAAGAAGAAGAAGAAGAACAAGATGGTGAGTTACTACTTGTCCATGTTTTGAATCAGATTCTTCTTCTTCTTCTTCTTCCTTCAGTTTTTTATGCAGGGTGGAATCAAAAGACAGTTTAGACTGAATATAAAAGCTTGTAATTCTACAAGAAGAGAGCCAAACAAATTCATATCAAAATTACAAGATAGCATAATATGCAAAAATGAACATCTAAAACATCCCTAAAACATGTAGAACACTGTGCTTAATACTGTGTTTCTTAACATACTTAATTGTTTCCTTCAACTGCAGAATCCATTCTGGTGAGCTAAGAAGAAAAAGCTATGCTTTTATTAAGTAATGTGGTGAGCAGAAGTCGGAGAAGATTGCTTTCAACATATAGAATTCAATGTACTCCTGTATTTTGTCTTTGCCATACTGATCCAAAAGTTGAGTTCTAATATATAAATCGTGATTCTTTCTTCCAAAATCATATTGTGTGAAGCATTGTTTGGTATCAACTACTGATAAATTGAATAAGACAAGCATTTATATCTTATTCTTCTGTAAAACAGTGGTGGACACCAAGATAATCTCCATGTTTCTACCCCTATCTTCATTAAAAGATCATTCACAGCCTTCCCATCAGCAAAAATGTCGGTTTTATGTGATCTCCTCAGATTGCTGGGAAAGGTTATATTTTCATAAACAAATAGACTATTCCCGTGACTCAAACCCTAGTCATCAAGGTTTGTCCTCGTTTAGTTTTTCCACCAAGTATTAAAATCACATAAATTTCTTTCTCATGCCTAGAAAGATTGCAGTGTACCACTAGAAATTCCATATTTATCCTAGCATTTCTTTCAATTTTTTCTCCTACAGTCTCCAATCATAGTTTCATCGGGTCAAAATAGATGTGGCGTATGCCCATTGCTAATCCACTCACCTCTCTGATGCCCCTTGGAAAACATGTCACTTGTTGATCATCCTGCAATCTTGGCATTCCTATTCTTAGCCCGTGTCTCCTCTCATGCCAATGTCTAACAATCTCTCCGAGCTGAGAGGATCCGAGTCCCGTCGGAAGAAGACCCGCTTAGGCAAACTTCCCCGAGAACTCTTCGGCTCAAGCAGGGAAGCGACAGGTTTAAGACGGGCGTTATAGCTACCGCATGACTTCCCCTCTTCTCACGAACAGGAGCAGAAGCGACATCCAAGGCATCACCTTCCATTAGCATTGGCATAAATACTTATATATTTTAAATATTTTCTAATCGATATTTTTTATTTCATTTGTTTTCAAATAGTATATCTAATTAAAAATATTAAAATTATTCTTCAAATTTTTTTTTTTGTATATTATAGTATTTTGATCTGTTATAATGTTTTTTATGGTGTTTTGGCCACCACAACAAAAACACTATAAAATCGATCTAAATATACTCTTAATCTCAGCCAAGCTAATCATAAGCAATAAAAATATAATATTGTTATGATCTATGAACAATAACTAACAGAGAGACATGATATGATGCTACTTATAATGTCTTTCAATGATGTTTATAGTGTTTTTAGTATATCAATAGAATATTGTAAATACTGTTGAAAAACACAAAAAACGAGTCAAATAAAAATATTGTAACAGTTTAAAATGGGTAAAAAAAAACAAGTGAAATTTTTGATGAAAAAACTTTTGAAGGATATTTTAGATATTTTTTAAATTAAGGATACTATTTGGGAAAAAAAACAAAAGAGATGGTACATTTTGAAAAATACTCAAAATTTGTGTATTTTTCAGAGAAATTGCCCAAACTCATTGAATAAGATATTAAGGCTGTGTGAAAGAATTATATATATTTTTACAAAAGATAAATGATGAAGACATGATTTAATCCCAGTCAAGGTTTTATATTAACTTAACAATAGTATCTACAGGTGATAATAGCCTTAATCTTGATAGATTTGTTCAAGAAACAAAACAGATGAAACTATTTGCAGTAGGAACAATTTACAATATGAGCTCCTTATTTACTATCAACAAAGCATCAGTCACAAAATAAAATGTTCTTTCCTGACAACCATGAGAAGAAATTCATCCTGCTTCTGTACATGAAAGTGCAGGATCCAATAGGAACAAAAACAAAAACTTCTTCCATGAGCAAGTGTAAATAGAAAAGAACTACGTCTGTCGACGTCCGTAAGTAGTCATTCGTGTCCTACAACCAAGAAGATGAGGAACTGAATCACCCAGCATCGCCTCGCAGCATAAAATATATGAAAAGAGCTGCAGTTCCAGCGAGACATGCACCGAGGATAAAACACTGCGAGTGACAAGCTGACTGAAGTGCTGGTACAAGCATTCCCATGCCCCTGTCAATTCCTCGGATGAAGCTACGGTCGTCAAGAGGTGCACTGGAGGACTTCTGAAGAGTAACATCATTTGATGATATTGCCCCCAGTAATGTCATAGACACAACTGGGCAAGATCGATCAGACTCGGAACTTGGATTTGATTTTGCATTGAACTGATAAGAAACTGATGATGTTACAACTGCAGACTCTTGGTCGAGTGCCAGCCCTGAACTGAAAGTCTGATTTTGACTTCTATTCAGATCAAGATGATGACCTTCATTGCCAACCTTTATGGTGTGGTTGACTGATGCGGAGTTCCTCGATGCCACTTTGCTAACCTGAAGTCTAATCCTGCCAGAGGGAACTTCAGCTGAAGGTCCTGCACGGCGTTGTCGAATCTGGATTCCAGTATCAATGCTCTTGTATGAATTGGTGGAAGCCGTGTGACCAAATGTAGGATTCTCTTTCTTAACATTTGCATCCCGGGAACTTCTTCCATGAGTGGAAACATCATCTCTGGCTCCAGTATTGGACTTCTGAAATGAGTTATTGGAATCAGATTTCAAGATATTACAGGCATCATCTTCTAATAGGTAGCCAATGTTGCCATCAGCACTTTGATCAAGATGAGAATCCACTGGCTCCTGCTTTGGCACAAGAGAACTGACATCTGCCTGCAAAATCTTAAAAGAAATGGAATAAAGTGTATGCACTAATGATCATGAT